GTTCTTAGTGACCAGGAAGGCAGGGTGGGGGAAGCATGCCAGTGGGAACATGGACAGGTCAGGGAGCACAGACCTGCAGGGAATAGGATCAGGCTGTAAACCTCAAGGCCCGCCCACCCTCTCACCCCTCAGAAGCTCACTTCCTCCACTGAGGTGCTATTTCCTGGATGTTTCTTAATGGTGCAAAATAGCCACAGGGCCGCCAGCTGAGGATCAAGAAAGACCACCTGTGCGGGACCTTTCACATCCAAACCAGCGCAGTGGTTTCCTCAAGGCCCTGGGATTTTATGTGATTCTGACTCTTCTTCTTTCATACGAATGTGTTCAAAATATCTCCCCGCCCTTGTCCCCCTTCCCCTTCCTTATCTCTCCTGTTTCTGTCTCCCCTTCCTCTTCCGTCATGCATCAATGCACATTCGTGCACACAGGCGCACCGCAACCCACACCCTGCATGGAGGAGAACAGTGACACAAAGACTCGAAACTCTGATAGCAACGGAGATGCGGCTGCCTGGCCTATTATGAGCATAAAAGAAAAGACAAAAAAAAAATCAAGTGTTGATTTTGACAACAGAGCCATTTCTAAAGGCAGCAGGCTCTCCTTAAAACATTCTATCATCTTTACAGAGTAGGTAATTTTTTTTTCTCCCTGGTGCTAGGAACTAGGAAACAATCTGAGCAAACACTACGATCAAAGGAAAAAACCAGACTTTTCTTTGCATATATTTTAAGACCCTTATGTTAGCAGCAGTCGGAACAATCTCAACAGTCTCCCTCCTCTCCAATAATCATTTCTACATTTTCCATGATAATGTGCCCCTTTCTATTTCCTGCTTGAGACAATTGTAAAAGACTCCATAAGAAATGAGCTAGTTGGCCATGATACTGTTTATAGTTTTTCTCATTTTAGAAATGAATACAGTGAAGCAGTGGGCCTGTCAAAGTTAAGGGTTCCAAAGATATGTCAGTCTATCCCACCTGATGGAACACTCATATTCCAGAAATATCCAGTGTGAGCTTCAGTCTAGCCAACCTTCCTGTCAAAAATCAAGACACAAGGGCTGGAGAGATTGCATCAGCTGCTCTTGCAGAAGAGGAGAGTTTGAGTTCCAGCACTCGTACCACCCCTGTGTAACACTTCACAATCACCTGTAACTGCAGCTCCAGGATATTATCATCTTCTTCTCGTCTCCACGGACACTGCCTGCACACGGTGCACAGACATCCGTGCAAGCAAAATGTTCATATATAGAAAATAAAAATATACAACATCTTTAAAAACAATCGGGCCACGGCAGCATGCATGCAATGCTTCATCAGAATTAAGAGAATGTTTATTGAATATCCACCTAGGATGTTCATGCTGCTGCTCTAGCACACAGCGGTTATGAGGAGAGTGACCACCTCTCATTCTTGATGCTTTTGAGACAAGGACTGATTCCTCCTCCATGTTATGGTTGGAAAGCATGGTCCCATGGAGAGGGAGAGGGGACAAAACGCACATGAATGAGAAAGATGGGGGTATATTTTATATGAGACGAGTAGTAGGGTACCTTGCAAATGTAATCCTTTCTGAAACTGGGGATTTGTCAGGTTCGCATGGTGTTGTGGTTTGAATGAAAATGTCTCCCACAGGTTCAAGTATTTGAACATTTAGTTCTCAGTAGGTGGAGCACTGTTTGGGGAGGTTACGGAACCCTTGAGGGGGGTACGGAACCTTTGAGGGGGGTACAGTCTTGACAGAAGACACATGTCACTGGGGACAAGCCTTGAGGGTTTATAGTCTCACCCCACAACTAGTTTGCTCTCTCAGCCTCACTTTTCTAGTTAAAGATGTGAGCTCACAAAGCTTCCTGCTCCTGTTACCATGACTACCACCTGTTGCCATGCCCCCAGTCATGATGGACCTTTATCTCTCTGGAACCATACGTCACAATAAACTCTTTCTCCCCCAAGTTAACTTGTTTGTCAGTGATGTCTGGATAATTTATATAGCCACAATAGAAATTTTACAGTCATAGATGCCATGAGTTTGAGATAAAGGGACCAACAGATGTGTGTTTGATGATGACTGTTGTCTGCTTGTATCTTGTTTTTTCCCTCAAGACCTTACCCCACCCACTAGCACAGAGCCTTTGCTGCCCTTGTCCAGAGAGCCCAATGTGTACTCCAATCTCACCATAAATTTTGCAGGGGACACACGCATTCTGACCCCCCACAGCGCTGGTATTTTGAAAGGAGCTTTTTCCTATAGCCGAGACAGACATCCTGACAGGAGGCCACCTCCCCAGTGCATTATGGGACACCTTATGGAAGGAGGACCAAGGGGCAGCCAGCCAGCAGGGACAGTGGCCATACACCAGGTGGAACCAGGGGAAGGGCAACCCCAGAAGGAGAAATGTTGACAGCCACCAGCAGCAAGGAGCCAATAGAGAAGCCCAGAGAAGTGGTTCTCAGCCTGTGGGGCAAGACACTCATGGGGCTTGCATACCAGATATTTATATTACAGTTCACAACATTACAGTTATAAAGTAGAAACAAAATGATTGTATGGTTGGGGGGGCTCACCACAACTTGAGGAACTTTTATTAAAGGGTTGCAGCATCAGGAATGTGGGGAAGCACTTTCCTAGAGTGTCCAAGGGGGTGCTGCCCAGATGACACTCTGACCTCTGAGCTTTATTCTTTGGATCCCTGAAGAAGGCCTCTCTGCTGCTGAAAGAGTCCAAGGCAAGCTATGGGGAGAAAATGGCTCAGGTGTTTGGTTGGTTTGTCTGTTTTGATTTGATTTTTGAGACAGGGTCTTACTTTGTATCCCCAGCTGGCCTAGAACTCACTCTATAGACCAGACTGGCCTCAAACTCACAGAAATCTGTGTCTGCCTCCATATTGCAGGGTATTAAAGGTGTGTACCACTATAGCCAGCTTCAACCCCCCCTTTTAAAAACACAGCACAGGAGGTGGTGCACACTTTTAATCCCAGCATTGAGAGGCAGAGGCAGGCAAATCTCTGAGTTCGAAGCCAGCCTGATCTACAGAGTGAGTTTCAGGATGGCCAGGGCTACACAAAGAAACCCTGTATTGAAAAACTAAACCAAGTCAACCAAGTAAACAACAACAACAAAAATAAAACACACCTTTAATCCCAGAACTGGAGGCAGAGGCAGGCAGAGTTTGAGGCCAGCCTGGTCTACAGAGTGAGTTTCAGGACAGAAGTGTTGCACAGCAAGACCCCGTCTCAAAAAACAACACAAAAACAAAAACCAAGTGTCTCAGAAAGTTACCTAATCAGGCCTTGAATTTTCCATCCTCCTGCTTCAGCATCTCGATCAGCAGGTGGGTTTATAAGTGTGTATCATCATATTAGACTTGCACCAACTGAGGTCATATTAATTTCTTCTGTTGACTTATAGATTTAGATTATGATGACCGAGGTGACTCCTCTCCCATTTTTCTCTGGTAAACAAGCTTTAACAGTGTGTCCCAGGAGGGCAGCATTTCCCAGCTTCCTTGTATCCTCAAAGCGTCCATACAGTCACTAAGAAAACACCATCAAGGATCCTGTGGATTTTCAGGAATATGCTTTAAAAATGAAATGCATCATTCTGAGGGCATCATTTTTTCCCTTCCTTCCTTCCTTCTTGCTGCCTACAATATGAATGTGATGGATGGTTGATCTCCAGATTCAAAGATAAATTCTGGGAGGCTGAGGTCCTGAGTTCAAGTCCCAGAACCCACATCAGACAGTTCACAACCCATTGTAACTCCAGCTCTATAGGATTTGATAGCCTCTTCTGGCCTCCACAGGCACCCAAACACCACACACACACACACACACACACACACACACACACACACACACACACACACCACTAATTTTTTTTAAAGAAAAGTTAGAAAAAGCAAGTCCCAGCAGCCTTGACTGAGGAGAAAGAAGAATCCAGTAATTGTATAATATATAAATACAAAAATCTTCCCTTGCTCCTTCCTTGTGGAGAGGCAGGACAATTGGTCCCACTGTCCCCCAGCAGGGCAGGCTGTGTCCATTGGCAAATCAGGAGCCAGTGTATTGCAGAGCTGGGCTGGGAGAATCCCACACAAGGCTTCCAGGCACCTACTGACTGTCCTTTCCCCTTTGAAGCTGTTACGGGGTTATAGAGGGTGGGAAGAAGTTGATTTCAGGGGTTATTAACTTCAAAATATTGGTTCTGTAATACTGCTTAGCTTTAATTATTGCACATGTCTTTGTGAAATAGCATGAATCCTCCCAAAAGTCATGTTGTCAGAGGGTTCTTTCTGTCTCGTCCCCACCCTTCCTGCTTCCTGCTCAGAGGCACTCAGTGCAAGAGGCTCTCAGTCCTGGGCTGCCCACAGACCTAGGCTAGCTTCCCATCACAGTCCTCAAGAAGCTGCCCTTTGGGGCTGGGGATATGGCTCAGTGCAGAGAATAATAGGCTAGCAAGCAAGAAATGCTGACCTGCTGGAGGCCGACTTTCCTGCTTCCTCAGAACCTTGTTGCAGCAATCCTTCTGTCTCAGTCTCGGTATTGCTGGAACTGCAAACCTGCACCCCCGAACATGGCTCCCCAGGCGGCCTTCCCTGTTATGATTCTGTCCTCCATTCTCTTCCACCGGAAGTTCACTGAACTTAGTTCAGGGATGCCAGGGTCTGAGAAAAGGATGAACTGCCTGTCCTATGCCCTAAGGCTTCAGAGTTCAGGGCATCCTCAGGTCCAAGGTCCCCTCAAATATAAGATTGTGCAGAGTAAGGCTCGAACCCCCTCTCCGCTCTTGCACCTCACATCTCACCTGGTCCTGGGGGAGGCAGTCTCAGTCTCCTAGTCTACATGTTGCATGTGGGAGCCCACTCATGGCCCCTGGAACAGTGGACACCCCTCGCCTTCCTGAGCTCGTGGATGCCTGACACCAGGGCTCGAGACCCCCTCCCTACCCGCTAGTCTCCTCTGTCCTTATCCCTCCCCTCCCTCCCTCCTCTCCCCCCTTCTCTTTCGTTCCCTCTCCTTTCCTCCCCTCCCCTCCCCTCCTTTCCCTTCCCTACTCTATCTTTCCCCCTTTCCTTCCCCCTTACCCTCCCAGTTCCTGAACCTGCAGCTCCGCCTGGGAGCGGAGGGAGGGGCTGAGTCCATTTGGACTCCAGGCCCTGGGGCCTGGTGGCTCAGTCCTTGGCGGTAGCGACATGCGACTCCTGTTCCTGGCGGTGCTGCGGCCACACACTGGCAATGCGGTCACGGCCGAGCGCTTGCGGTATGTTACACGGGGCCTGAGCATCCTTCGCCTGGGGATGCCGGGCTGGGCCTGGCACCGGAGCTGCGCGTGCACAAACGGCTGGGGCCATGGGCGCAGGTGCCGCGCGAGGGGGCTGCAGCTTTGATCCTAGCTGCCGCTACCCTGTCTGGCTATTGTGAGTGCCCTAGGGTGCGACAAAGGGGCAGCCTGAGCCAGCGCTGGCGGGGTTGGGGCGGGGAGGGGGTGGGGAGGACGAGGGTGGAGGGACTCAGAAGCTCCGCTAAGGCCTCAAGGCAGACAGAGATGGGGTTTGGGCAGAGTGGCCTGGGATGCGAAGCGGGGACCCACGTGGCTGGAGAATGGCACAGTCCGGTGAAAGGTAGAGCTGCATAGCTGAAGAAAGGCATGGAGTCCTGGTGGATGGTCCAGCACGTGCAGGGATCCAGGGTCCACGTTCTGAGGCTGCTGTTCCCTGCCTGCACCTCCCATCTGATTCTCTTCTGGACGCTCAGCTTATCTTGTTAGGTCTTTTGCTTTGTGTGTTTACCTGGGACAGAAGCCTGGAGCCAGACAAGGCCGGGAAGGCGGGTCCATTCACCTTGCCTGCATCAAGCTGGGTTGAACTCTTAGCAGTGGAAGGTAGATGCTTACGTGCCCGGTCGCCCTATAAGTTAGCTGGCTCCCCACTCCTCTATCTCCCCCCTGCACCTCCCCCCTCCACTTGCTTCAAGAAATTTCCCAATGGCTTTCCCCTCTGTGGGTCTGTTTCCTCATCACGGGAAAGAGCCTTTGAGGCCACTCCAGCCCTCACAGGTCACGTTCAGCTAGGAAATGTTACAGTTCCTCTCAAGATTGCAGTGAACAACCGGTGGAGGGTGGATGCTCTCCTGAAGTTTCTTGGAGAAAAGACAGGGTTTTGTTTTTTTTGTGAGTGCCCCCCCCATCTAGTTCACTCATTGGGTTCTCTGGGCGCTGATTTTAGACAGCTCTTTGCAGCCCAAGAGAGGCAAGGAGAATAAACAGGCAAATCATTCCAGAGGGTGACTGGTGCTGTCAAGCAACTGAAACCAGGCTGGGGATGTGGCTAAGTTGGTAGAGTGTTTGCCAAGCAAGTGTGCTTGAATCCCTGGATTCTAGTCCCAGCACTGCATAAACCAGCTATGGTGGTACATGCCTATAACCCTAGTCATTTGGGAGGCGAAGGCAGGAGGATCCGAAATTCAAGGTCATCCTCTGCCACTACTAAGTTCCGGGTCAGATAGCTACTTGAGATCCTGTGTGAAAAACAAAACAATACGACCTTAGCGATGGAGGGGCTCCTTCAGGCAATAGGGTCCAGGCTGTGCTCTCTGTAGAAGGAACATGCAAGCTAAGACCAGAGGGAGGTATCCACCCAGATCTGGGAAGATGCGTCTGGAAGGGCTAACGATAACACAGGTCCTGAGGCCAGTGCAAACTGGAGCTGTTCAAGATATAGAAGGTTGGTGAGAGACATCCAGCTGTCTTGTGCACGTGGTGGGAGGAACAGATTGTGTTTAAGACTAGCATTTAAACATTAAGCACATGTTAGCTAACATTTGACTCCGTGGGTGGGAAAAGGTCCAAGGTTCTCTGGAATGAACCGATCGTCAATAAATGAAATAGAAAACATGCCTGAATTTATTATTACGTGCAAGGATACCATCACAGAATATAATTACTCATTGACCTAGAAGTGTGTATGCCCTTTTCTATGGTGGAAGCGGGCTTGGAGAATGTGTGCCCTTCCTAAGGGGATTGGCAAATGATATGGGGGGGGGCTTGGTGGGCTTACATAAGCTCACATTGCCCTGGGATGAAGTTGTAGACTCACAGAACAGTGAATAGCTGTAAATGATTCCTAGTAATACTGGATGGTACCAAAGTCAGACACAATGGGATATAACAAAGGGCTGTTCATCCATAATGACGTTATGGGACACGAGGATCACAGTGTGAGCTCCCCTTAAGTGACAACCTGTCCTCAATAAGCCAATTAAGGAGTCAAAACCACAAAGTTCTAATTACTCGGCCTCATAGAAACTTTAGCACAATGGTAATAGGTCTGGTCCATGCTAGGCAAAACTTTGAACTTCTGACCCTCTTACCTTTACCTCTTGAGTGCGTGGATTGTAGGCATGTGCGGCCACATCCTACCACAAGAAGTTTCCTGACCTTTGTTTCAAACCATATGGGGCAGTTCCCACTGAGCACAGCGTCTGTAGCACTCCTGAGAGTCTCTGGAAAATGCTGACAAGTGCCGCGTACCCTCAGCCCTCAGGAGCACATACTGTTAAGGCCAGGTTGGCATAGGGCAGAGAGTGTTGCACCAGAATTGTCACAGAGAGAGCCGGACTTTGTGCAGTGGGTGGCAGCTGCTCTTACCTCACCCAGGGCAAGCTAGTGAGAAAACATGTTTTGCTTTTTGTGTTTTTTTCCCTCTAAACCCTGAGATGAGGTACCTTTGGGAAAGGGAGCAATCTGAAGCCTCCTGGGGCAGACATCACCTGCAGCCAGGAATCACTTTCCATTCACCACAGCTCTCGTCACGTCCCCCCTGAGCTCTGCCACAACTGCCAGGCCTTTAGGTAGGAAAACTTAAGCAAGAACCTGTGAGGGGTAAGTTTAGGTAGGAAAACTTAAGCAAGAACCCGTGAGGGGAAGTTTTCAGGTTTTTGCCCTAGAGGAATGTAGTGAAATCACTGTATCAAAATGCCGGAGCGAGGTCAGAGGAGGAAAGCAGAACTTTGCCTGAGGATTTCAGACCTCTGAGTGTGAAGGGCTTGGCCCTCCTCGGAACCCATTAAGCTATGAGCCGTAGATTGATTCATCAGCAACATCAGTCAACACCCAAAGACTACACATGCTGTAACACACACACACACACACACACACACACACACACACACACACACACACCTTCAACATATGAACTTCTGCGGGGGCATCTCACACCCAAACCATTACACAGACTCAGGAAATCATGGCTTCCTGGGAAGCACTGGTAAAGACACTTTTATCTGTCTTAAGTAACAGATGTTGGAAATCAGTCAGCATTTTAGACATTTGGCAAATGAGTAAAAGGCAAGGGGAGTCCTCACATAGAAGAGCTGATCCTCACAGCCCTTGTACCCTGAAGCCAGCTGCCAAGCAACCAGAGCCGTGCCTATTTGTCAGAACCAAGCACGGCCATTTGGAAGAAGGTTCAGGCATGTAAATGCCCAGAGCATTACCTAATTATATGTGAGCCTCTGACAGAGAAGTGCAGGGTGATGACAACCCAGGAAAGGGACTTGGCCTGTGCTATAACAGCATCTGGGAAGGCTCCCTGCAGAAGTGCCCCTTCCTTTTCCCTCCGAGACATCCTTGTCACACCATAAAATCCACCCTTGAAAAGTGTGTGATTCATGGCACTGGAGAGATAATTCAGAGGCAAGGAACACTTGTTGTTCTAGCAGAGGACCCAGGTTCAGTTCCTAGCACCCACATGGTGACTAAGAACCATCTGTAGTTCCAGTTTCAGAGAACCAGTGCCCTCTTCTGACCTCTTAGGGTATTGCATGCATGTGGTGTACACACATACATGCAGGCAAAACCCCCATTCATGTGTAACAAATCTAAAATATATATAAAAAAAGAAAGTGTACAATTCAAGGGATGGATTCCAGGGCCTTATGCATGTTAGGCTAGTGCTCTACTGCTCAGATACATCTCCAGTCCTTTATTTTTGTCATTGTTTTGTGTCATGGTCTCCTCTATCCTGAAAGGCACTATTCAGTCCAGATGGGTCTCAAACTCACAGAGACCCCCTTGCCTTGGTCTCCCAGGTTCTGGGATATCGTGTTTGTAGCACCATGCATGGATTTAATTTCCTTGTGCTAGATTTTATTTCCTGTAAACATAGGCATTGTCAATTATGGAAATTCTCATCTGTGACACACAGAAGCAATTAAGTTTTATTATTCACAGGAATAAGAAGAGGGCTGTAGGGACTCTGGAGATACGGCTCAGTGGTTAACAGTGTTTAATCCTTTTGCAGAGGACCCAAGTTCAGTTCCCAGTATCCACATGGTGGCTCACAACCACTTATAACTAGAGTTCTATTTAGTCTGCTGCCCCCTTCTGGCAACTGTGGGTACTACATGCACATGGCACACATGCACACATATAGACAATTTAAAAATCACTTAAACAAATCTTTTAAAAGTATAGATAGGGCTGTTGCTGGGTGGAGGTAGATGGAATGATTTCTAATCTTAATTCATAAATATGCAAATTGGTTTCACCTCTTCCTGAATCATTTATTAAAGTCTCTCTCTCTACATATGTGTGTGTGTGTGTGTGTACATGTGCATGTGTGCATGTGTGTGTGTCTGTGTATTATAGCTCCTTATGCTATGAAAGAAAAGCACAATTCCTTAGGCATAATATATACTTTGTGAATTTATTATTGAATTGAGTAATTATCTGACAGAAGGAATAAGGACAAAGCAATTTGAGAGTGCTATAAGTCATCTAGCCACCAGGGTAAAATTTCAGTCCACAGAGTATGAAGATTGAGCATTTTTTGATTTAGAATGTTTGTGAGGTCATTCAGTGAGTGTCACAATGCTGTTTAAAGGACGTTTAGTAGATGAAGAGCAACTTGGTGATCATGACTCTCATTATCCATGACAAGGCTCCCTTTCCCTTTCTTCCATATGGATCCAGCAGGTCATCCATCTCTCAGGCACTCATTCTCCAGCAGACTGGAACCTCGTTGCCATTTGTCAACAGCTTCTCATTTCCTACAGCTCTTGGGAGACGGAATAGCAGTCCCTCACTTCTGCTCAGGGCACATAGAAGTCTGACTCTTAGGCAATGGCTGCGGCATCAGCAGGCTTCCTCCTGGAGTGCTGTCCCCACACACAGTAGAGTGTGCTGTCCCCACACACAGTAGAGTGTGCTGTCCCCACACACAGTAGAGTGTGCTGTCCCCACACACAGTAGAGTGTGCTGTCCCCACACACAGCAGAGTGTGGGAGGGCAATGTACTGACCTACAGTGACTGATCAAACTGAACGGTGAAAATGGTACAGCTAGCTTATACAATGTGAGCCAGGCACAGTGACACAGGTTTGTTATCCCGGCTACCTAGGAGGAAGAGACAGGAAGACTGCAGGTTCAAGGCCAGCCTAGCAACCTGGTGAAGCTCTGGTAATGTAATTCAATGATGAAATCTGTTGAATCTCCCATACTAGAAAATAAATAATACCCAAATAAATAAAAGAATAAAAATAAAAATACAACGTACTTCAGTCCTCAGACTCATGTTTTGCTTTTTTATTTTTTTAAATAATTTTCTTTATTTTATGTGCATTGGTGTGAAGGTATCAGATCTACTGGAACTGTAGTTACAGACAGTTGTGAGCTGCCATGTGGGTGCTGGGAATTGAACCTGGGTCCTTTGGAAGAACAGCCAGTGCTCTTAACCACTCAGCCATCTCTCAGCCCCCTTGTTTTTTTATTTTAAAAGAACTTTTTTAGATTAAAAATTATTGCACACACACATGCATACATGCATGCATACATGCATGCACACGCAAGTGCTATATGTGTGTAGTTTCCACAGCAACCAGAAAAGGGTGTAGATCCTCTGAAACTGGAGTTATAGATTGCTGTGAACCACAGATAGGTGCTAGGATTTGAATCTGGATTCTCTGCAAGAGCAGCCAATGTTCCAACCTCCAAGCCATCTCTCCAGCTCCAGACTTGCTTTGTTTGCACAATGCCATTAGCATGTTATGTATTTACAAAGAGATGTTATCATTCACATGCTAGCGCAGGGGATGAGTCTCATGCTGTGCCCCAGAGTGAGCATGGCACTGAGGACTCCTCAGTCTGCTGCTTCTTCCCAAGGCCTTGTGGCTTTCACAGCGCATTTGGATACCAGATGACCCATGCTAGCCCAGTCTTGCTTATGGCAACAAAAAAACCTGAGCCTGAGTAACCTTATAAAGAAAAAAGGTTTTATTGAACTCTTACTTCTGGAGATTCAAGGTGGGGGCCCACACCGGGGAACAGTCTTAACATTGTTTTAAATCACATTGATTTATTATGTATTTAATGTAGAGCAGGAAGTATGGGGTGGGGCAGTCTCACCTGCCATATGCATGGCTTACATATGGAGGTAAGAGGACAACTTAGAACAGTTGGTTCTCAACTTCCACTGTGTGAATCATAATAGGATCAAATTCAGGTTGTTAGGTTCGGCAGCAAGTGCCTTTATACCATGGGGCCATCGTGCCTGTCCCTTGAAATATTTCTTCAATAAGTAAGTGACAGGAGTTGGAGAGATGGCTCTGTGGTTAAGAGCATTGGTGGCTCTTTTTTGTGTGTTTTTCAAGACAGGGTTTCCCTGTGTAGCTTTGGAGCTTGTCCTGGAACTAGCTCTTGTAGACCTCACAGAGATCTGCCTGCCTCTGCCTCCCAAGTGCTGGGATTAAAGGCATGCGCCACCACCACCTGGCTGCGTTGGTGGCTTTTGCAGAGGCACCCACATGGCAGCTCGCCATCATGTAGAACCCCAGTTCTGGTGGATCTGACACCTTCTAACCTCTGCAGGCACCAGGCATCATATGTGTCGTGCAGACACACATGCAGACAAAACACTCATACACATAAAATGAAATTTAAAAGAAATGAGTGACATCGACCTAGAAGATGCACCCCAGGCACCTTCTATAGTGACAGGACAGCAAACAAAGGAGACAATGGAATTAAGTGCAGCCAGAGCTTTGGGGTAGTCCAATACCACTGAATGTGGTGAGAGGCTCGCTGTGTCTCAAAGTTGGTTACATCGGCCTCGATCCCAACCACAGTCTGAGGTCTTGCAGGCTGGAGAGTGGATGGTTGCGGCCATCACCTCAAGCTTCCATCTGTGTTTCAGTACAGAACCGACTCTAAGTCCTTAACCAAAATGGCAACTCCAACTTTTCCCTCTCTCTGTTTAAATTAAGGGACCACCTGGAAGCTGCGGGCCACATGTGCGTTCTGAGAGATGCCTTTGACTTTGAAAGCCCATCTGACATTGCCAACCTCATCACGGCTGAGAACCTGGAAGCAGCCCTAGCCCTTCACCTCTACCGAGGAGGTAGACTACTACAAGGTATCCCTCTCAAGCTTTCAGAGTCACACAGGGGGAATGCTGAAAAATACCTGTGACCCAAAGACAAACTGAAGGGTGATACAAGGTCTCCATTTTTTTTTTCTACCAAGCGATTTTTAACCTTGATGGTATCTTTACTGTAAAATTATTTGAATGCCATCCTAAGGCCAGCCACGGTGGCACATGCCTATATTCACGGCACATGGTCTCTCACAAAGCTGTGGTTTCCCTGGGTCAGAGCATCTGTGTCTATGGTATCTCACTCTCTCAGCTGTGACCAGGAGGGTTCTTTCCTCCCTACCTGCATGGGTGGTGTGTTTCAGTTTATTGCCCTGTTGCTGACAACTTTAAGAGAGAAAGGGTTTGGGTTTTTTTTTTTTTGGCTTAGGGTTCCTGGTTACAGTCCACCACTGAGAAGTCAAGGCAGGAACATGAAGCAGCCAGTCACATCACATCCAAAGTCAAGAGAAACAAATGCATGTACATTTCCTACAAATGCCCCCTTTCTATATTTATTTACAGTTCAGGATTCCCTGCCTAGGGAGTGGCAACACCTACAGTGGGCTGGGTCTTCCCACATCAATTAAACCAAGACAGTCTCAACACGGACACACCCATAGGCCAAGCTGACCTAGACAAACCCTCACTGAGACTCTCTGCCCACATAATTCCACGTTGTGTCAAGCTGACAATTGCAATGAGAGCTATCAAAGTAGCTTTAGACATAGTGGTCAGCTCCTCCTGTAAAGAGCATTCTAGGGAGACCAAGTTAGAAGCTACTTTCCCTTCTATGACTCAGCCTCCAAAATCACCTAGCATGCCAGGCGTACCCGGGGAGGGAGGTGCCTAGAGTTCCCAGCACTCAGGAAGTAGAGGCAGGAAGATTCCAGTTTTGAGGCCAACTTAGGACCATCTCGTGACACCTGGACTCAGAAAATGAAAGTTAAAGTCTTCCAGTAAATTCCATAGTGTCCTGTCAACATCCAGGGGTCAGCTACTAAGCTGAACATCAGAATGAGGGGGTGACCACCCTGGAGTTTGGCCATGGCTAACACACACACACACACACACACACACACACACACACACACACACACACACACACACACATATATATATATATATATGTATATATATATATATGCACAGCTCCAGCTACACACGGCATAACTGAGGGCATGCACATACATACTGTGCATCTTGATGTAACACCTGATAAATCTGAGGATTCCCTCCCACAACAGCATATGTACATGTCACTCATCCTTCACTCTTCACTCTTCTTTCTTTGTGTGTGTGTGTGGTGTACATATATGTATGTAGGTGTATATTTGCGTCTCTTTAGGCCTGAAGTTGGTGTCTGTTCTCAATTGCTTCTCTACATTATTTTTATTATTTTCTTACATTAATTTTTATTTATCTTTTGTGATGGTGGGGGTAGCACAGCACACATGCCATAGTGCATACGGAAGTCAGATAGCAAATTGTAGGAAGTTGGTTCTCTCTCCCCACCATGTAGAAGTCATGGTCAATGTATGCTACCAGCTCCTAGGTTAGCCTGGAGGCCAAAGGGCTATGCGATATTTTGTTTTGATCAACACTGACAAAATTGTTATTGAAGTTTAGGTGAGGCAAGGACCTATTTCACCTCACTCTGGCCCAGTTGCTGGTTTGTTTTTTATTTGTTTTATTTTTTTAAGACAGGGTTTCTCTGTGTAGCTGTGGCTAGTCTGGAACACCCTCTGTAGTCCAGGCTGGCCTTGAACTCACAGAGATCCACCTGCCTCTGCCCCCCCACACCCCAATTTCTGGTATTAAAGGCGTGCACCACCACCACCTGGCTTGTTTTTTTCGTTTTGTTTGTTTTTAATTTTTATGCTTAATCCTATCACTCTTGACCTCTGCTTCACATAAACATGAAGATGTCCTGCTCTGTTTGCTTCTGAGTTAGGAGGAAATAGTCCTCTCTGATGTAAACCTGTCGAAGAGGGAAAAAGATCAACGCCTGATTTAACCAATGCTGAGGCAACACTGAGCTTGGGGCACTTCAAGCAGCTTTTCACGTGTTAACTTCTAGCTGTTCTCTGCACGGAAGGCAAACATCACTTATTTCTCTGGCATATAGTTTTGCTCATTTGACTGCTTTTTTTTTCCTTTTTTGGTTTTTCGAGACAGGGTTTCTCTGTTTTGGAGGCTGTCCTGGCACTTGCTCTGTAGATTCAAGTTGACTGCTTATTTTGAGACAAGATCTCATGTAGTCCAAGCTGTTGTGACACTTTTGATACAGCTAAGGATGAAAACCCTGATCCTCTTGCCCCCATGATTCTAGTGCTGGGATTATAGGTGTGCACCCCCTACACCTGCATTCTTTCCAATGCTGGGGATCGAACCCAAGGATTTGTGTGCGTTCCTGGCAAGCACTCTACCAATGGAGCTATATTCCCAGCTGAATTTGTGTAGTAACTGAATCTACATGTGGCCATAATGACTTGTATAGATGGAATTTTGCTTTTTTTTAATCTTTAAAAATTGTTTTTAGCTGGACGTGGTGGTGCATGCTTTTAATATCAGCACTTAAGAGACAGAGACTGGAAGATCTCTGTGAGTTCGAAGGCGGCCTGGTCTACAGTACCAAGTTCCAGGACATCCAGGGCTACATAGAGAGACCGTGTCTCAACAAGATCGAAAATTGTATTAGTTTATGTGTATGAGTGCTTTGCCTGCGTACATGTCTATGCGCCATGTGTGTGCCTGGGACCCCAAGGGGCCTGAAGAGGGTGTCAGATCCCCCCTTAAGACTGGAGATATAGATGGTTGTGAGCCTCCAGGGTGCTGGGAATCAAACCTGGGTCCTTTGCAAGAGCAGCCAGTGTTCTTAACCAAGGAGCCATCTCTTCAGCTCCACTTTTCTCTTCAAATTACTTTACATTACAGTTTTGTTTTTAGGTTTCTGAGCCAGGGTTTCTCCGTGTCACTTTCAAGTCTGTCCTGGAATTCCCTCTGCAGACCTCACAGAAATCTGCCTACCTCTGCCTCCCGAGGGCTGGGATTAAAGGCATGAGCCACCACTACCTGGATTAAATTACTTTTTCTTTTAAAGTGATCTGTGTGTAAAAGATTTTTTTCTGTGTACAAATCAATCTGTTTTTCAAGTGTTTAATGACAACTTTATAGTTGTCCTTATCTAAGAGACAATATAGCTAGGGCACTGTGCAGGGTGCATTCTGGGAACTCTTTCATACGCTTTAACTAGCATATAAAACAGACAACATAAGAGTTAATTTGATGTAGGCTACAGAGCTTAAATGAAGTCTTAAGAATACGCCTTAGGCTGGAACCTAATAAGGAAGCAGCTAGGGTCAAGCGGCAAGGAGGAGATTAACCAGTCTTTAATGATATCCCATGACTGGGTATGGCCCCAATCCAAATGCCCCGCCCCATATATAATTGTTCTTTAGTTTTGAATCGAAATCATGCACCACTCATACTTTGGTTGTCTTTAAGTCTTAAATTGTAGTGGTCTGTTTCACAGGGCGTGTGTCACAGCACGCATGTGAGAGGTCAGAAGACAGCTGTGTGGTGTCTGTTCTCTCCTGCCATGTTAGACCCAAGAATGGAACCCAGGTCATCAGGCTTGGTGACAAGAACCTTTACCCAATGAACCATCTCCCTGGCCCATGGTTGTCTGTTATTTTTGTCATTGTTTTGGGCTTTTGAGACAGGGTCTCATGTGGCCCAGGGTGGCCTTGAAGTCACAATTTATGTAAGGTTGGCCTTAACCTGCTGGTCTTCTTTCCTCCTCTTCCCAAATGCTGGGGTAACAGGGGACACCAGCACACTCAGGTTTTCTAAGGCAGGGTCTTACATTTTACAGCCCAGGGTAGTCTAGAACTCACTATGTAGCCCAGGCTGGGCTTGAGCTCCTGACAACCCTCCTAACCTTCAGTTTTCTGCTCTTACCTGAAATAAAGTAAAAAAAAAAAACCCTCCATTTGCCAGGTCTCTCACAACAATGGGTTGTGAGTGACCACACCTTTTAAAAACAATGTTTATTACTTTTTTCAATTGAAAAAATTACACGTATGGACGTTCTGCCTGCATACATGCACAGATATGTCCCACATGTACCCCAGGTGCCCACAGAAACTGCAAGAAGGTAGTAGATCTCTGGAACCAGAGTCACAGATAGCTGTGAGCTGCCATGTGGATGCTGGGAATCAAACCTGGGTCCTGTGCAAGAGCAGCAGCGCTGTTCACTGCTGAACCATCTCCAGCCCTGGCATTTATTTTCACATGTGGGTGTTTGTCTCCACCATACGCATGCTGTGCCTTTGGATGCCAGAAGAGGGCATCAGTGCGCCTGGAACTGGAGCTGCCAACTGTTGGATTGAAAACAGGTGCTAAGAATCCTGGGTCCTCTGGAAGAATGGCTGATGATACTCCCGACCATCCATCCCATCTCTCCAGTCCTGAATGACGACATCCTATTTCCATGTTTTGTCTCAGACCCAGTGTGTGATGAACTGGGTTTTTTTTTTTTTTTTTTTTTTGAGACAAGGTCTCACTCTGTAGCCTTAGCTGACCTGGAACTCACTGGCTTTGTTTGTAGACCAGTCTGATCTGGGACTCAGAGAGTGCTAGGATTAATGACATGGCTCAAACAGGATGAACTAAATTCAAGGATATTTTTAGGCTGGATGTGATGGAGCAATCCAAGCAGAGGCAGGCGGATCTCTGAGTTCTAGGCCAGCTAGGTCTATGTGGCAAGTTCAGTTCAGAATGTTGTGTTTGCATCCAGGGCCAGGGATGCCACTCAGAACCTGTTCAAAGTCCTCCAGTTTCAATGGCTGGCTCTAGAAGCTGGACATCATGAGGGATGGACCATGCCTGGTGACCTCCAGGTACCAGTGTCTATTCCTCAAGGCTTTCTGAGTTGCTGTTAGCTGGAGGATGATAAACAGGGTCTTCTCCTGTCACCAGTTTCATTTAAGCTCTTTGCTTTCTTCCCAGGATGGGCGAGCTTAGCTTTGATGGGTGGTGGCAAATGATGTTTTTCTGTGGTTAAAATGGAAAGCAAATTAATCTGGAAACTAGTCCTGACAACCACGGGCGAGACTTGGCATGATTAATCTCAGCGTGGGTTTTTTCATTTTACAGATATTTATTTGTGTGTGTGTGTGTGTGTGTGTGTGTGTGTGTAGTGTAGTGCAGTGTATTGGTGTTGGTGGTGGGTGTGGTCACAGTGTTGGTGGGCGTGGTCATGGTTGATGCTGGGAGAAATCTTTGTGGAAGTTAGAGGATAACTCAAAAGGAGTTGCTTCTCTCCTTCCACCATGTGAGTCTCAGGGATGGGACTCAGAGCGTCAAGCATGGGGTGACATTTGTCTTTGTCTGCAGGACCATCTCGAGATGGGCCCTCAGTGCAGGTTTCTAACAGTGCTATCTGTGATCCCTCTGGAGAGTTGAACAGAGCGAAACTGACACCAAAACACACCACATTTAAGAGGCTGGGGCTCAGGAGGTAGAGTGTTTGTCCCACATGCACAAAGCCTTGATTTCAATCTCTAGAGGGACATAAACGGAATGTGGCAGTGCTCCTGGGACATCTCAGCCCTCTGGCCCATCCTGGGTGGAAGCCTGAGGGTCAAGAGTTCGAAGTCGTCTTCAGGGACATAAGTTCCAGTCCAGCCTGCCTCAAAAATAACAAAGATGATTCACTAGGTAAAAGCAATTTTGCTACAAGCCTGGGCACTGGATTTCAATTCACAGAACACACAAAGAGGTAGAGAGAGCTCACTCCATGAAGATGCCCTCTGACCTCTACACTAGCACTGTGGCAAACATATGCCCCCCCCACATATTACATACACAATACACACGCACACACACACCTTGGAGTGGTGGTGTACACCTGTAATTCCTGTCCTGGTAATGCTGAGACAGGAAAATTGAGAGTTCCAGGCCAGCCTGGGCTATAGAGCTCTCTTTCAAGACAGACAGACAGACAGACACCCATACAGCCCTGTGTTACAGGAACTTCATGGATGCATGCCAATTGTCAAGGGGCCCCTCATGATGTCCTGTCTGTTCCACTTGTCATCATTTTGCAGGTCATGGCATTCCTTTTGGGGTCATCTTTGGTGGAACTGACTTAAATGAAGATGCCAATCATAAAGAAAAAAATGAAGTCATGGGGAGAGTCCTAGAGGAAGCCAGGTAAGGCCATGGGTGCTCTGTTTTCTATCCTACCAGGGAAGACAAATTCTCACCATCAATAATAAGACCCTTGTGAGGCATGGTGGCTCCAGAACTTGGGAGACAGAGGCAGGTGAATATCTGAGAGTAGGCCAGCTTGGTCTACACAGCAAGTTCCCAGACAGTCAGGGCCACATAGAGAGACCCTATCTCAAAACAGCAAGCCCACAAAACAAAACTATCCTTCCATATAGTTTTATTTTGCTACAAATTCTTTGTAACTAAATAAGTCACTATACCTGGACTAATGTTAATATCACAAGACATTCTAGAATGTTCTATATGGTAGGAAGACAGCATGTGTGTGTGTGTGTGTGTGTGTGTGTGTGTGTGTGTGTGTGAGAGAGAGAGAGAGAGAGAGAGAGAGAGAGAGAGAGAGAGAGAGAGAGAGAGAGTGTTGAAATAGATCTTTTGACCACTGTGGGTAGTTGAGGATGACCTTGAACTCTGCTCTGGGACTACAGGAATGCACTGCAGTGCAGGACTGATACATGATTTAAAAGAGCAAAGCAGGCCTATGCTAGGTTTCCTAGCCCAAGGGTCATCCCTGTAACTATGGGCTATTCACTATTCACTATTCACTAATCACTGTGGTCCTGTCTGTGTCATCTTGTGAGTTCTGTAAACCATTTAGGAGAACAGCAGTCACCACGGGGATTCTGCACCCTGGCTTAGTCCTCCATTTACACATCACTCCCAGCCATCCAGGATTAGAGACCCTTCAAGAGCTTGGCAATGTTGCCTGTAGGTGGTGCTTCTCTAAGATGACACATTCATTAGTTCTATGGGACAGCGCAGGAACCCCTGCCCCAGACACTAGCTGTGGCCAGCACCTTCTGATCTGCGTGGGCAATGTGAGCATGGTGTACATCCATACACACAGGAAAAACACTATTCATACACAGAAAATCACAATAAATGAACCTTGAAAAAAAATCAAAACTACACAGAGAAGCCCGTTTTGAAAAAACAAACCCAAGACAAACAAAAAACTTCCCCCCAAACAAAAAGCCCCCAAAACAAATAACCCCCTCCAAAAAAAGACCCAAAAAAGCAAATACAGCAACATCACTTGCTGTTTGAGTTCCCCTCTGTCTTAGTTTGGTTTCCACTGCTGTGAAGAATCACCATGACGATGGCAACTCTCATGAAGAAAACATTTAACTGGGGTGGCTCGCGTACAGTTCAGAGGTTTCATGGCGGGGAGCATGGCGGCATGCAGGCAGTCATGATGCCGGAGCTGAGAGCGCTACATCCTGACCAGAAAGCAGCAGGAAGTCGACTGACTGTCACACTGAGTGAAACTTGAGAAAAAGACCTCAAAGCCCGCCCCCACAGTGACACACTTCCTCCAACAAGGCCACACCTCCTAATAGTGCCACTCCCTTTGGGGGGCATTTTCTTTCAAACCACCACACCTTCCCTGTACCCACCTCAGGTGGTTCTAATGTAACTGGAGCATAACTCCATCTCCAGGGGATAAATACCCTCTTCTGGCCTCCATAGGCACTGCACTCACACAGTGAACACACACACACACACACACACACACACACACAACACCTTAATAAGATGTGACCCATTAGTGAATATTCCTCACTACTTCTTGCACATTCTAAAAATGTATTACCTTGCTATTTACATGGCTCCTGCTGCACCACCCTATGGAAGAAAAGTAATTCTGTTTACTAGAAACATTATTGAACAAATCCATTTTGCAGTATTACCTTTAGGGTTACTTATTGCATTGTTATTAAAACAAATATTGATTTTTTTTTATTTGGGGGTATTGATTGAGGCCGGTGGGTAAGAGAGACACATGAATCATGGATTTCTTGTTTGACTTCACACAGCTCATGTTTCTATAAATGAGGTATTGGGCTTGTCTGGCTTTATAATGACCATTTCATTTTTAATCAAACACTTTAAATTGGTGTATTTTTTTCTATAGTGGTTGTGTGAATATTTTCAATATTTTAAACTTTCATCCCATGCAGTATAGTATTTGATTTTAATTTTTGATTAGATTATTATCTTTGAAGAATTACAACACAGTAAGCACTTGGTAATTATAAATGTAAAAATTAAATGAAGTGTATCTGAAAACTGGGATCATTTTGTTTCCAGGTCCATTTTTGAAAATTAATACTTATCACGTGTTATTGTTAATTTAGAATGGTTTTCCTTTCTTTTTATTTCATGTATTTGGGTGTTTGCCTGCATGTGTGTCTGTGCACTATGTGTGTGCAGTGTCCTTCAAGGACAGAAGAGGGCGACTGATCACCTGGAGTTGGAGTTACAGATGGCTGTGAGCCACCATGTTGATGCTGGGATTCGAACTCAGTTCCTCTGGAAGAGCAGCCAGTGCTCTTAGCTCCTGAGCCATCTCTCCAGCCAGCCCCAGTCTTATATCATTATCTCTTCTTTTCAGATATATCCGGTGTAGGATGGGAGGAACCTTTCCGGCTTATTTAACCTCTTCTCCGCCATTGTGTTGCCTTAAGTTCTTGGGTGTGTTTGAGCCTGCTCCTGGCCTTGCGTTCACTTTTGGTCTCCCGTTCTTATCCTCATTGCCAGTACAGTTATAATCACCGTACTTTGGGTATGTGCCAGTGTGCGATGCAAGCCTCAACTCTAACTCTGCGGCCTTCATCTTGAATGGTTGCCACTCAGTGGCACGCATATTTGATTTTGCCTCAGTCAGGCTTACTATTGCTATGATGAAGCACCATGACCAGAAGCAAGGTGGGGGAGGGTTTATTTGGATTAGACTTCCACATCACAGTCCATCATCAAAGGGCAGGGCAGGAACTCGGGCAGGGCAGGAGCCTGGAGGCCGGAGGCCATGGAGGGGTGCTGCTTACCGGCTTGCTCAGCCTGCTTTCTTACAGCACCTGCCTAGGGATATAGCACCACCCATCATGTTCTGGGCCCTCCCACATCAATCAGTAATTAGGAAAATGCCCCACAGCCTGATCTCATGGAGGCATTTTCCCAGCTAAGCCTCCCTCCTCTCTGATGACTCTAGCTTGTGTCAGGTTGACATTTAACTAGCCAGGACAGTTTATGTCAGTTACTTTCTTCACTGCTTTGACAAAAACAACTTAAGGAAGGACCTAGGTGTGTGGCATTGGGCACCTTTTTTATCCCAGCACCCTGGAGGCAGAAGCAGGAGGATCTCTAAGTTCAAGGCAGCCCCGGCCTACACTGAGAAATCTCATCTTAAAAACAGAAGCAAGATGGAAGGGTTTATTGCGGCTCACAGTTTGAGGGTACCATCCAGTCCATCACGGCGAGGAAGGCATGGCGGCAGCAATGTGAGGCAGCTGGCCGTGTAGTGTCTCCAAGTCAGGAAGCAGAGAACAATAGATGCTAATGCCCAGCTCACTTTCCCTTTTATTCAGACCACGGTCCCAGCCCTTGGCACGGTGCTGCTGACAGCGAGGGTGGGTTTTTCGAACTCAGTTTCCTATTCTAGACACTCCCTCATAGATATGCACAGAGACCTGTCTCTTAGATGGTTCTGCATCCTGTCAAGATGCTGATTGACCGAGTGACCATGACACTCAGGCCCCAACTATGAAATCTTTTTGTGTGACTGTCATAGAATCACAAGCGTGGCCAATCCTTAAAACTAATGTCAGATGCTGTGATAATTCAGGTGTGGGTTTTTCCTCATCTGGTTTGGTAGAAAAAGGGATATCTTCATACAATTCTCGTGCAAGAAATGTTCTATGCCATTCTGTTAAAATGTATCTGTTAATGCTCCTTTCATGGCAAAGGCAATCTCTTTAAATACATGGTGTGTGTGTGTGTGTGTGTGTGTGTGTGTGTGTGTGTGAGAGAGAGAGAGAGAGAGAGAGAGAGAGAGAGAGAGAGAGAGAGAGAGAGAGAGAGAGAGAGAGAGCATGCTACATCTCTCATGTTGGAGGTGAGAGGATAACTTGTGTCTACCATGTGAATCCCAGGGGATCAAGCTCCAGTGACGAGGTTTGGCAGCAAGCCTCTTCCTGCTGAGCGATCTTTGGTGGCTTTGAAAACAGAGTCTTAGAGGTCCCACATTTTTCCTAGCACTGGAGCCCCTTAGTGCTTACTGACTTTTTCTTCTATTGCTTTTTCAAGTTTATTTGTGTATATATAAGCCTGGATGTATGTGTGTGCACCACATGGTTTTAAGATATGAGACAGAGCCAGGCATTGGTGGCACATGCCTTTAATCCCAGCACTCAGGATGCAGAGGCAGGCAAGATCTCTGTGAGTTCCAGGCCAGCCTGGTCTACAGAGCGAGTTCCAGGACAGGCTCCAAAGCAATACAGAGAAACCCTGTCTCAAAAACAAAAATGAACAAACAAAGATGTAAGATATTTCCATTATCATGTAGGCATCCTAGGCAGGTGTAGGTACTGTAGCACATTCAACATTCCCTGCCCCCACACCTGTGCCATGTGCCTCTTGCCCCGGAGTACTCATCACATACTAACTATGTCACATAATGAATTTTGTTTTCTGGCTTTTGAATTAAAAAAATGTAAATGTATGTTAGTGTGCATGCTGCTGGCATGTAGGTGTTAAAGAGGCTGTCAGGTCCCCAGGAGCTAGTCACACACGGTTGCTGGGAACTGAACCCAGGTCCTCTGGAAGAGCAGTGAGTATTCTTAACTAGTGAGCCGTTGACCCCACACTAGCCTTTGATTTTTAATCTCTGCTTTTTCCTAGCATCATTTGAAAGGAACAGGAGAAATAAGAGGTTTTGAGCATCGCTGAGTTTATTTCCCTCCCACAACTTTTTCCTGGTACGGGTGGAGATGGGGCCTAATGGGCAGTGACCGGGAGTAATGACAGTGGATGGAACTGTGCCCTGTCCATCTCTAATGGGCTGTTGGCAAGTGCTGCCTCGGAGTTGTGTTAATTGAATTCCAGCCTAATTGACTGTTATCTCTATCCATTGACTAGGTTCGCCGTGGCTTTCACAGAGGCAATGAAGGACACAGCGCAGGTGCAGTGGGTATGTGTTCTTTTGACGTCTTTTCAGCAGGGCTTGGGGACAGGGAGGAAGTCTATTAGACCATGGCTGTATGGCACAGTTGTGGGCTGCCTTTCTCCAGTGTGGATACCCTTAAAAGGCTTAGTGATGTTTAGCACTTTTCTTTAATTAATTCTTTGAGAATTTCCCACAATGTATGAAAAGCTTTTTAAAATTAAAAATTGTGTATGTTTTCTGTCTGCATGTCTATCTGAGTACTGTGTGCTTGTCTGGGGCCTGAGCCTCCTGCAGCTGGAATTGCAGACAGCTGGGAGCCATCATGTGGGTGTTAGCAATCGAACCCAGGTCCTCTGCAAGAAGTGTCTGGGTTCTTAGGCAGTGAGTCATCTCTTTCATTTTTTAACCACCCCCCCCAGTCCAGTTGGCTCTACATACACACTTTCATGTGGGACCTACCCTGAAGTGTGGCCAACCTCCCAGGGGCCACATGCAAAAAGAACACTGACTCTTCATCTCCCAGAAGCCATCAGTTGCCAATAACCCCTCAGCTGGAGGTGAGACTTTGTGCCTTCCTCCTCCCTCCATCTCGAGATTATTGTTTTAATTTATTTATTGTTATTTTATGTGCATTGAGTTTTTCCTACATGTATGTCTGTGTAGCACTATCAGATCCCCTAGAACTGGAGTTACAGGGAGTTGTGAGCTGCCATGTGGGTGCTGGGAATTGTACCCCAGCCCTCTGGGAGAGTAGCCAGTGCTCTTAACCACTGAGCCATCTCTCCAGTCCCCATGCTGAGTTCTTGTCTGGCTTTAGCTTGCACGGGTCTTACACACACTGTCTCAGCTGCTGTGAGTTAATATATGCAACTGCACTGTTGTGTAAGAAAACATTGTTTTTTTTTTTTTTTTTGTAGTCACCCACTGCCTCTGGCTCTTACAGTCTTCCCAGCCCCTCTTCCAAAGTGATGCCGGAGCCTTGGGAAGAGGGGATGTGATACAGCTGTGACGTTTAGGGCTGGGTACTCCAGTCTCTCATTCTCCACACTGTGGCCAGCTATGGGTCTCTGTGTCAGCCACCGTCTACATCAAAAAGATGCTTCTTTCATGAGAATTGAGAGATGTGCTAATGTATGGGTATAGCAGTGTTCCACTATGTAGACCAGGGTGGCCTGGAACTCACAGACATTCACCTGCCTCTGCCTCCCAAGTAGTGGGAGTAAAAGCATGTACAACCACACCTGCCTCAGATACATATATGCTACTGAATATATGTGTATCACACACACGCACACACACATACATATGCGTGCACGCGCACACTACTGAATCTATATAAACACTATCCTGGGCCAGCCAGATCTGTGCGTTTGGACAGTCCTCTTCCAAGAATAGTAGGCATTTGAACAAACAAACGAACATCAAGGGGCTAGAGAGACAGCTCAATGGCTAAGAACACTTACTCCAGTTCCAGAAAACTCAGGTTTGGTTCCCAGCACCCACATGGTAGTTCACAACCAACTTTAACTCCAATTCCAGGGGATCGAATGCCCTCTTATGACATCCACAGGCCTCAAGCACAAATGTGGTACAATTACATACATATAGGCAAAACACTCATGCACATAAAATGAAATAAACAAACGTAAATCAAATCTTTTTAAATTAAAAAGTGAGGACTGCAAAGATGGCTTAGCAATTAAGAGCTTTTACTGCTCTTGCAGAGGACCTGAGTTCAGGTCCCAGCACCAACAAGAAGTAACTCACAACTGCCTGTTATAGATCCAGTTCTAGGAGATCTGATACCCTCTTCTGGTCTCCATGAGCACCTGCACTCATGTACACATACATATGTACATATAATTAAAAATAAATCTTAAAAAAATCAAGGAAGGAAAACACTGAGATAGCTTATATGACTTTGTCCCAGATGTAGGAGGTACTGGCATAACCTAATAAAAGATGAGATTAACTTGTTTTCATATTTTAAAGGCTGGGGTAGTTATTAAATTTGAAAGTGAAGTTGTTTTTAATACACATTTTTTTTTGTACAGGATTGATGGGTGGATTTTCCAGTAAAGTTCAGCCCAATACCTTTATGTGATTTGATTTCTTTTTCCAAATACAAACATGTATAAGTAATATACAGGTTTCTTACTCAGCTGTATTTATGGAATTCTTTTCGACTCTGGAGGGGAGACTTTGATTCATGCGCTGCGTACGGTGATAATGTGCTTTTGAGCAGTGCAGTCTTAATCTTCCCGGAGGAAAAGGCAGCTTTGGTTTTTAATTTTATATTCTCTGTTTTGGAAGCAGGCTTGACTCAGGCTGTAACCTTGTTAATCTTGTCTAATTATTACCAAAGTGTGATTCAATAGCAGTAATCCTAGATTAGAAAGATTGCAGGGCTTGCTTCTAGTGCTCTTGTGGCTTCTTCCCTCCTCCTCTGTTTCCTCTTTCTCCCTCTCCTTGTTCTCTTTTCTTTTTTGTAGTAGGATCTCACCATGTAGCCCTATCTAGTGTGGAACTTACTATGTAGAACAGGCTGACCTTGAACTCAAAGAGATGGATGGACCTGCCTCTGCCTCCTGAGTGCTGGGCTTAAAGATTTTGAAGTCACTACCATACCACCATGCCGGGCTTCAAAAGAGAGAATATGGAGACTGCAGAGATGGCTCAGTGGTTAAGAGCACTAGCTGCTCTTGCAGAGGACCCAGGTTCAATCCCATGCTGCAGTTTACAACCATCTCCCTCCAGTCCCAGGAGATCTGATGCCCCCTTCTGGCCTCTTTGGGGACTGCATGAACATGGTTTGTCTCTCTCTCCCCCTCTCCCACACCCACTCCCTCTCCCTTTAAAAAGAAAATAATATGTATGACTACAAAGATAATGTATTTAAATGTGACTTTTAAGCAGAGAATCCAGCCCAAAACTTAAACCTGCATTTTCTCCACTTTTATTTCTAGAAAGGTAATTAAGTTGGGTGTAGTGACATGCTAATCCCAGTACAATCTTGCTACGATTCTCAAGAGAAATACACTTTCTAATACGAGTGTTAAAAGTCAAGATGACCCTTTCAGTTACCCTTTCTACCCAAAATTAATTAAGTTGGCAGCTTCACTCTGTGACGGTAAGACGTGGCCGTACCTTGAGAGCTGCGAATGTGTCTGTCCACTTATCTCTCAGGGCTATTTCTCTGGGGTCTAATGAAAACCTGAAAGGTTAAGAACCGAGGCTGCTTTGTGTGGCGTTTTAAGGGGAAGGGAGCCAGTGTTAAGATTCCATTGTAATACCTTTGAGAACTTATTAATTTGACTACTTACTGGATATGGAAAGTCAGCGTCCTTTTAGATACAAGCTCTAAAGTAAGCGTGTCTCTGTAAGAGACCCATTTTATAGAATAGAACTGAAAAGGGGGCATGGAAGGATTGACACAGTTGGGGGTGGGATCAGCTGGAGAGTACCTACCTGCTTAGAATCCACCAAGGAGGGGCTGGGGCTTAGCCTGGTGCTGTCACAGCACTTGGTGAGGGGTGGAGGCACTGGTATGGATACCAGTGGCACTGGTATGGCACTGGTTCAGTGGTATGGATAGCACTGGTCCCTGATTGCAAGCATCACAAGGTAAGGGAAAAGACAGACCAGACCACACAGCTACAAGAAGCCCTTCCGTTATTTGGTTAATATAATAAAAGGCTGATCTGACATTAAACTTTTCTGCAGGAGGAAACTACACTAAAAGTTCTTGTAGATGCAGAATTTAAGGCTCAGCTCTCAGTTTGAAACTACAAAATTGACTCCTGATTGTGGCTTTTGTTTGTTCTTGTTTTTCCAGGCAGGTTTCTCTTTGTAGCTTTGGAGCCTGTCCTGGAACTTGCTTTATAGGCCAGGCTGTCCTTGAACTCACAGAGATCCATCTGCCTCCTGAGTGCTGGGATTAAAGGCGTGTGCTACCTCCACCTGACTCTGATTGTTGTTTTCTTAAAAGAATGTATCTAATAGCTACGAATTGCCTAGGGGAAAGTGTCACCCATATACACAACATTCACACATTGTATCAATGCGGATCACACAGAGATTGGCACTTCTCAGCAAGTTTATTCACCTTCTTCTACTCTTTTTTTCATGTAGAATTTCTTACCAAGCAGAAATTATACTGTATAAAACACTGTAATTACAGAAAATGACACTGTAAAGCTAGGCCGGGTTTCACCATGAAAACATACAGGAGTGAGACTCGGAAGGCATTTATAACTTGGCTCGGATGCAGTTCCATAGGTAGCATGTGCACACAGCCCCGAGTTCCATGCCCTGCCCCACAGAACCTTGGTGGTGTGCCTCTGCAATACAAGTACTCAGAAGAGGAGAATCGGAGATCCAAAATCACCCTCAGCTACCTAGCTTGTTTGAGGTCAGTGTCAGCCACAGGAGGCCCTCTATTAAACAAATAAGAAGCCTGGGATGGGAATACAAACAGAATCCGGTACAGAGAGGTCCCGATCCAAAAGACGAGGGGCTTGGAGTCCTGGCAAAAGCTGGGCTCAGGGCATTGTTCAAGGTCTGTGGAGGCAAGTCAGGCACACGGGACATTGGCAGCGTAGGCATTTTGGGCAGATCGGGATGGAAACAGGCATTCTGGCACTCGGGAGTCACAGAATACTGCGTGTTACACAGCTCAGATGGAAAGATATCCTGGAGCTCGGGAGCCAAGGACTACCACAGGTTGTATGTAGTAAATTTAGCAGTTTACAGTCTTGCCTCAGGGTATCGGCTGGCTCTGCTCCAGCAGGAGAGGGTCTTCCAGCTGGGAATGTTTGCCCAGTGCAGCAGTTTTGCTTGGGCAGGAGGTTTCCTGAGTTGCTACAGTTCAGCTCTGCTCCGGGTTCCGGGAGCCGGGAGAGTGGAGAACCGAGTGTAACAACTCTGCTCTGCTAGGGGAAGGTTTCCCGGGCAAAAGTGTTACAGCCCTGCTTGCTCTGCTCTGCTCTGCTCAGGGTCGCCTCTGCAAAAGAAGGTCTTCACCCAAGCTCATCCAAGGGGTTTATTGGGAGGGAAGAATCCAGGAGAGTGGCTGCCCTCTGCCACAGTGGCAGATGGCAGAGGACAGCCTGGTAGCGCAAAGAGCCACAAGTTGAACAGACAGAAGGTTTATATAGGGCTTCCAGGGTGGGGATTGGTCAGATTTTAGTGCTGAGCTCAGATTGGCTAGAGCTCTGCTAGAGGATTGGTTAGTTTTCTGCACAGGGTTGGGGCCAGATTTGGCTCTGGTTTCAGGGCCAAAGTGTGTTTCTTTCTCTGGTCCTTTTTGGCCTTTTGGCTCCAATATTAGGCCAGGGTGCATTTCTTTCACTGACTCTGATTCCAGGGACAAAGTGTGTTTGTGTCTTTTGGCATTGGTTTCAGGGTCAGGGTACTATTCCTTAGTTCTGGTTGCAGGGCCAAAGTGTGTTTCTTTGGCTCTGCTCAGGGAGTGTTTCTTTGTCCTGCCCTTTTCCCCTACAGGCAGTCCTGAGAAAGTTAATGCCCTGAAGCACCGGGCCACCCGCCCCCCCCCCCCACCCCAAGACCATAGCCCATGCTGTGGGTTTACCTAGCACGCCTTTGAGCTTGGTAGTATTTTCAAATTTATGTGCTAGTGAGGGCTAGGGTGTTGCAGGGTAACTTTCCTGTCTTCCTTTCTATATTTAGTTTGTTTTGTGAAAGGTCTCCATTACCTTCTTTAAATAGGAGATTGTCATTTTGGTTTTGCTTTGTTTTGAGACAGGGTCTTGATGTAGCCCAGGCTGGCCTCAAACTTGAGGGTTTTTAGTCTCCAAAGTGATGAAACTACAGACACAACACCACCGTGCCTAACTGAGAAGTGATTTTAAAAAACCAACCAACCAAACAAACAAACAATACTTCCTCTTTAAAGGCTTGGGATCTCAAGGGATTCTCTCAGGGACACCTGGATCGGCCAGCGTTTTGCATAGGGCAGTGAAGGCTTTGGTGGGCCAGTGGTTCAAAGGGTTACATTAAAAAGGCGATGCTGAGGCAAAACTCAATCTGAAGGGATCTGGAATGGAAGATGCCCTTCCTCTGACCCATGGCTGGCTCCCCATCTTCCCACTGAACGTCTGCCTGGCTGGGCTGTATCACCACAGCATATTCCCCAAACCAACAAACGAGTTTGAGTATGCACACCATCTTACAATGTCAGGGCCTTGCTTTGTTAGCAGTGACGTGTGTGCACGTGTGTGTGTGTGTGTGTGTGTGTGTGTGTGTGTATACACATGACAGGATGGTGACCTCGGGCTTCAGGTGTCCCTTCCTGCCTTCATCATAACATTTAGGTTACAAGATAAAAAGTTACTCAGTGTTGGTCCCCACAGTTCACCTCCAGAAGACCTATATTTTGACCATAACCGTTGGTATCTTTGAGTCCCCTCTGCCATGGGATAGAGGATTTCCTGCCCCTCTCCAGCTCTGACCTCCGTGTTCAGATGTGCCATTTAAAAGATTACTAGCCCAGGACCTGGAGAACTGGACTCCCTGCCCTCTAGTGACTTTGTGCCCTTTCTCCAGAGAATACCACAAAGAATAAGCATTTGGCATCAGGACACAAAGGGGGGAGGGAGAGGAGGAAGGATGGGACTGAAGGAGAGGAGGAGGGGAAGAGGAGAGGGGAGAGGGGAGAAAAGGAGGGAGGGAGCAGAAGAGGGGGCCACCGCCTCTGCCTGGATTCTGGAAACACTGAGAGCACTGCCAGGCCTTGAGGTCAACCTGCCCTTCTCACTGGCCCCCTCTTGTGCCCTTTGGGTCTCTCCTTACCTCCTCCTCCTCCCCCCACCTCCCTCCCCCTCTTCCCTTTTCCTTCCCTCTCCCCATTCTCTCTCCTTTCCTCCCTCCTCCTCTTCTTCCTTGGTCCTGAGGGACGGGGAAAACCCTTTTCCAGTTAGGGACAAAGTACCATGAGTGGCACTTCCCCGCCCCCCTCTGCTTCAGCAGCAGGTGCACTCCTTGGCCCCAGGACTCTGCTGCTGCCAGCCCCCACGAGGCCGCATTAAGTGGGATTTCTGTCCTTGTTCCTCTTAAAGCCACAAAACCCATTAGTCGTGGAAGTAACTCTGTATCCCTAAGAAGCCAATGTGGGTGACTTAGAGATGTTCTCAAAGGGGTATTTAGTGATATTGATTTCTAAAAAGCATAGAATGGTTGGATCGTCAAATTCACTTTCCCCCCATTTTCTTTCTCTTTCAAAAGCCACATGCTAAGGGAAAGATCTTTGTCCAGAGTCAAGGTAAGAGTATATATATATATATATATATATATATATATATATATATATATGTATATATATATGTATATATGTATATTTGTAATTTATTAAAATGTATATACACTACATATACAACTTATTGCATTTACTTTACTCATTTGTGTTCATGTACATACCACTGCACACATGTGAAAGTTAGAGGACAACTTTCAGGACACGGTTCTCTTTGTTTCCTTTTTTTGTTTGTTTGTTTTTGTTTTTCAGGACAGGGTTTCTCTGTGTAGCACTTGCTATCCTGGAATTCACTGTGTAGATCAGGCTGACCTCAAACTCAGAGATCCACCTGCTTCTGCTTCTGCCTGAGCACACCACCATGACCTGACTTGGTTTTCTCTCTTCACCATGTGGGCCCCAAGGACTGAAGTCAGGCTTGGTGGTAAGCACCTTCGTCTCCTGAGCCATCTCACTGGCCCCCGGTATATTCTAGATTTTGAGAGAATGTTGGCTGGCGAGATGCTGTAGTGTCTGAGATGTATTTTTAGAATGATTATCAGAGAGGATAACTTTCTGTTGTTTTCTAGCATTAGAATAAAAGATGGATGGGGAAAATTATAATAGGGAGAAATACACATGGCCATGTTTTTTCATCAGTAGAGATAGACTCCACTATCCTGGTATATTTTATTTGTTGTTTGTCTTTTATTTTTGTTGTTTTTGTTTGTTTGTTTCTCAATACAGAGTTTCTTTGTGTAGTTTTGGCTATCCTGGAACTGGCTCTGTAGACCAGGCTGGCCTCAAACTCACAGAGATCCACCTGCCTCTGCTTCTGGAGGGCTGGGATAAAAGGCATGTGCTGCTACCACACCTGGTGTTTGTTTTGTTTTCCTTTGTTTTGTGTTTTGAGGCTCTCTGACACTGATTGGCCTTGAACTCCTGGTCATCCTACCTCTAGACTCAGCTGGAATTACAGGAGCTTTTATAACATCTAAGTGAGACAATGAGTTACCTTGATCTGGGTGTCATGGATTCTTCTGCACCAAGCCATCCTCCCCCCATCCCAGTATCCCCTGACAGTGGCAGATGGCTCTCTCAGCCAGCTACACTGACCCTTATAAACCACTGGCCTAGAGGGTGGAGGATGGACAGATGTGTCCAAAGACTGATTTGCCACTGATTTTTGAGTTCAGTTGACACAGGTGCAGTGACCAAGGCAGGGAGCACTAATGTGTTGGTTCTACAGGCCCGTCTTGGCTTCATCATGTCACCCAGGCTCTAGGGGGCCTCTGAGACACCACTACTTGGCAGGTGAACTCAGAAAGAAGGTCAAAATGGAGTGAGTTCAAGGTCACTCTACCTTATTTTTCAAACAAGCTCTTCATTGGAGTTTTCATTGAGAAAAAGATGTACCCACAGGGCCGTGTGAAGTGTTTAGGAGATAGTGTGAGCAGGACTTGGTGTTCTCCCGGCTTTGCCTTGGTTTATGTCTTGCCCAAAGAAACTGGACTCCTGCCCCCATCCTGCTAGACTAGTGGTTTTCAACCTACCTAACGTTGTTCCCCTTTAATACAGTTCCTCATGCTGTGGTGACCCACAACCATACAGTTATCTTTTTGTTGTTGTTGTTGTTTTGTTTTTGTTTTTTGAGACAGGGTTTCTCTGTAGCTTTGGAGGCTGTCCTGGAACTCGCTTTGTAGACCAGGATGCCGTGGAACTCACAGAGATCCGCCTGCATCTGCCTCCCGAGTGCTGGGATTAAAGGCGTGTGCCACCAACGCCCGGCCACAATTATCTTTGTTGCTACTTCATAACTGTAATTCTGCTACCATTTTTTTGAGGGGGGGGGGGGGGAACAGGGTTGAGACAGGGCTTCTCTGTGTAGCTTTTGGAACCAGTCCTGGAACTCGCTCTGTAGACCAGAATGGCCCCAAACTCACAGAGATCTGCCTGTCTCTGCCTCCCCATCGCTGGGATTAAAGGCGTCAGCCAAGCCCCATCACTTTTGCTTAAGAATCATAATGTAAACATCTGATATGCAACACCTGTGAAAGGGTTGTTTGGACACCCCCCCAGGGGTCGTGACCCACAGATTGAGAATCACTGTGCTAGGATGAGCCTGTTTGGTCTCTCTGTTTGACCGCTGTCTGTGTAGACTGTGTAGTCTTGCGGCTGCAGGTCCTGTGCAAAAGGCACTTAAGCAGCACTTTCTGGGCAAGCGATAACCTCTGAGCAAGGTCAGAGGTAGTTGGATGATATGAGTTCAACGTTCCTCTCTCTGCCTCCCTTTCTTCAGGGTCCTCTTCTGCATACCAGGCTTTACTGGAACTTGATACAATCCCCCTGCCTCCAGCCTCCCAGGTGTTGGTGACAGGCATGAGCCATCACTACTGGCTGAAATGTTTGCTGTTTTGTTTTTAAACAAAAAACGGTTTAATTTATAATCCATTGGAAGAGCCCGGTGGTGGTGGTGCATGCCTGTAGTCCCAGCACTTGGAAGGCAGAGGAAAGTGGATCTCTTTGAGTTTGAGGCCAGCCTGGTCTACAAAGCTACACAGAGAAACCCTGTCTCGAAAAACCATTAAAAAATTCCATCTGAGGAAATGACAGAGAGTACATAACTGTGCACCATCTATTGAATGTTGATTTTGGGAATTGTGAGTGAAGGTGAACTTTTACCTAAGCCAACTTGGCAGAGTGAAAGTGTTGATGTTTTAGAAGACTTTCCGAGTCTCTTTAAAGAGCTCAAGGTCTGTACCACCCAGAGTGGAATGGTGGTCCATGGGGATGGTGCATCCCAGGCATCCACAGGTTCACCCAACCTCTGTGCTGAGGGGACCATGACATGCCATTGCAGTGATCATTTTTTTCCCCTTTCCTACTCCTTTCACCAGGAATCGCAACGATACCAAATGCCAACTTTAACTGGAACACCTTCCTCCAGCAATCAGGTAAGGCATGGCTCCCTTCCTGGGACTTTGACAGAAGCATCCCTTGCCATCTACCATTAGTCCCTTGTTTCAAACCATCTTGCTGGACCCCGCTTTTCTCTTTAGATAATGCTTGGATCTGCAATAACAGGGGATGGTGTGACATCCATTTTCATGCATTCGCCTAGATGTTTTCTTGGCAGGCAATCCTTACAGTGGGTTTCCATGTGAGACCGCACACTTAATCTGAGCTCCATGCATCTTGCAAGACTGTCACCTGGCAGGGTGGCATCAGGACACAGCCTGATGATGGTGTAGGGGAGGGGCTTCTCCCAGCCTGTGGCGGAATTCAGAGAAACTTAACCACTTCGGCTCCCCCTCGTGGTGTGAAATGAGCTCAGCCATGATGCTTGAACAGAAGTTTGTTGTGCAAAGTTTTCAATATAGTCTGTATAAACAAGGCCTGCAATATATGCTTTTTTTTTCAAGACAGGGTTTCTCTATGTAGCTTTGGAGCCTGTCCTAGAACTCACTCTGTAGACCAGGCTGTCCTCGAACTCACAGAGATCCTCCTGCCTCAACCTCCGGAGTGCCGGGATTAAAGGCATGAGCCACCACTGCCCAGTTAGGATTCTTTTTTAAGGGTCAAAACTCCAGTTAAATTGCCACCCCAGTCTGGGTCATAAGTGCTAGAAAAGGTAAAGCTCTGTCTACTGATATGAGACGTGAAGACAAGAACTTCTCTGTTTTAACCCAACATGTTTCCAGATGACAACACGGTTTAGTGGTACTTGAGTGTGCGCTCATTCAGATGCGCGCACTTGGGTATGTGTGAAGGTCAGAGCGTAGCAACCTCAGGTGTCATCCTTAGGAGTCATCCACCCTGATGTTTGAGACACTTCTCTCTCATTGGCCTGGAGCTCACCAAGTAGTGCGGGACGACTGGCCAGTGAGTCCCAGGAATCCTCCTGCCTCCACCTCCCCAGCACTGGGATTAAAAGTACACACCCCAATACCTGGAAAAAAATTTTTAACATGGGTTCTGGGGATGGAATGCAGGTCCTCATACTTGCAAGTCAGGTCTTTACTGACTGAACCCTCTCCCTAGCCCCGTATTTAGTAATGCTTACAGTGTCCAAACTCTGGGGTCCTGGAAGGGAAAGCTGGAGCTATAGGCTTTGCTACAAACTTCCAAGACTCAAAATTTGCAACCAGCCCCCCATCCACAACTGATGGAAGGCCACTCCAAAGCCCATTTCCACTCCAAAAGCCTCACCCAAAATCTCTACCACAGACTGTATGTCAGCTTTAGCTCCAATTGGAAAGAAAAATCCCAAGCATTTTATTAGAAAAAATCTCCCTAGCATGTTCATCAATCCCCATGACAGCAGAGTGGCTGTTCTCGGCATTACAAATGAACCCCAGAGACCCCATTGCTTCTTCATGTCAGCATGTGAGTTCAATTCCTCAGGACTGGGAAGGGGGCTTCAAATTGCCTGCCTTAAGGTTATTTCAGTTTCAATATATTATAGGACACGATGGAGGTGTAACTGAGACCCCATAATTCCCGGAAGCTGAATGGCTTTTCATTAAACCCTTTAGTCTAGGGCTGATGGTTGGGCTTACAGTTGAGTGAGCAGCAGAACAGGCAAGGGATTTAAAACACCCCACCGAAGGCATCTTCACCATAGGCTGACTTAGCTACTGTTCCATCTCAATGTGAACAGTTAGAAATTTTGTATGTTGGGAATCCATGGGTGCAGGGACACCCTGGCTGTGGCTGGGGTAACTGATTGCAGGAGGAGCACAGTAAAGCAGAAGAGCTATTAAGAATTCTTCTGATGGCTTTACAATCAGGTGTGAGTTCCCGTTTGCACAATTGATCCTCTCTGTTTGAGTTTTGGTCTTGGGGCATGGGTAGCCTATTATCCCTGCTCTGTCTCAATGGGCTTCTGGAGTTTGTGTGACCTGAGATTGTGACCTCCCATGTCTTTGTGCCTCAGATGATGAGAACAGAAGATGTAGAGGATTTGGCTGGGCTCTCAGTGATCAAATGCCCTCTAAGTTCTTATAGTCACTTGGGTATGGAGTGTGGGCAGGCAGAGTGGGACCTCACATGACTATCTAAGTTGGTGAGTTACCAAAGCTTATAGCTTGCTCCTTAAACATCTGATGCTATTTTTTGTTTGCTTTCTGAGACAGGGTTTCTCTGTGTAATAGTACCGACTGTCCTGGAACTCACTCTGTAGACCAGGGTGGCTTTGAACTCACAGAGATCCACCTGCTTCTACACCCTGAGTACTGGGATTAAACTCATGCACCACCTGGCCATCTGATGCTATTTTTTTTAAAAAATATCTATTTTATGTGAATGAATGCTTCATTTTAACATATGTCTGTGTACCATGTACACACAGGGCACGTAGAATTCAGGGAAGAGGGCATCAGAGTCCTGTAACTGGAGTTACGGATGGTTGTGAGCTACCATGTGTGTTCTGGGAATTGAATCTGGGTCTTCTGGAAGAACAGTCAGTGCTCCTAACCCCTGAACCATCTCTTCAGCCCCCAACACCACTTTTATAGTACCATCCCTTTATTCAGTATGCTGCAGAGTTTCTGACACTGCTCAGTCATGTATCTCCCAGCCCTACCTCCCCAAATCAATGTCGAATCAGTTCAAAACATCAAGCCAGCTCTACGCCACCAAGACTCCACACTCAAACAGATCAACTGAGCACTGGTGGTTAGGTGGCTAACGGGCAGTCCACAGAACTGCAGTGACTTCCTGTGTGCTCCTTACAGCTAGCTCTTCTGATAAGGAGTGTCTCTACCAAGCTCCTCACATGGTTGGTGAGGTTCCCTATTCCTTTCCAGGTTTGCTTTCTCTTTATATAGCCCAGGAGCCAAATCCAGGGAATGGTTCTGCCCACAGTGGACTGGGTCTTCTCACCAGAACACAGTTTCCTATGGATATACCTACAGGCCACCCTCTATAATCCCCTGCTGAGACTCTTTCCAAGATAATATTCTGGAGTATGTCAAGTTGACAATTAAACTCACCACCATCCATTTCATTTGTTTCATTTATCTTGCTTATTTATCTATCTCTTCTCCCTCCCAACATAAACTCAACAGCCCCCTACGTGTGATTCTCACTGTCTGTCTTCCTCCTGCCACTCCCTGTTCCTCTCCCTTTCTTCTAGACAAGGTCATAGGTAGCCTAATGTGGCCTTGAATTTGATATACAATAGAGGCTAGTCTTGAACTCCTGATTCTTCCCAAGGGCTGGGATGACAGATGTGTGCCACCATGGCTGACCTCCTCCCACCCTCCCCTCACTCTCTCAACCCCATTTGTTTTTCTACGCAATGGAGACCTTAACATCCTAAAATCTACTCCCCGTCTATTCCTAAGAAAACCCGTTTGGTTTTCCTATGGGGCGAAGGTGCTGGATCTCCATTTAAATCAGATACTTTTTCTAAAATCTGGACTCCAGTCAGCGTACTGCCCTTGGCTGAAGTTCTCCAAACCTTCTCACAAATACAACTGAGGGACAGGAGAGGCGCCAAGGCAGGGTATTGTGGCCCACATCTATGATTTTAGCACTCCAGAAAGCAAGGGCAGGAAGTTCATCAAAATTTCAAGTCCAGCCTGGGTTGTAGAGCTAGTTCCAGCCCAGCTAGGGCTAGGTCAGAGTCTCCTGGAAGAAACACAACAAAAGAAATAACGGAAGGAGTGTTAACACCGAGGACAGGAAGTCACGGCAGCTGGCGTTTAGCTCTCCCAGCTATTCTCACGTGTGATCAGACAGCACTGTTTCGTCTGTCGTTGAAGTGGATGCTAGACCGCCAAATAGAAAAAAAAAAGACATATTTTGTTTCAAAGCTAAAAATACCATTCTGATGGCCACTGAGCTATGTTAAATGCATGCACACCTGTGTACACGCCCGGGCTGGTTCACACCTTCTCTCAGCCTAACCCAGTGTGTGAGAACATGGGCGGGCTGTAGGCACAGTCTCTGACTGAAACAGCGAGCAAAAGTCACTGGAGATTTAGGTGGCACCGGCTTTGCCCAAGCCTTGGCTGGCCCATCTCTTTCTGTTCCCCTTTAAATACTAAGAGCAAACACAGCACTTTCCCTTAAAGCTACCAAGGGCTGGAGGGTGCCTGCCAGGTCACTCACTAGGCCAGTGACTCCCAACCTTCCTAATGCAGTGGTGATCCCACAACCTCTACATTAATTCCTTTGCTACTTTATAACTGCAGTTCTGCTACTGTTATGAATTGTAATGTAAATACTTTTGGAGACAGAGACTTGCCAAAGGGGTCTCGACCCACAATTCCAAGTATGCTGGACTCCAGTTCTTGGTTCTGTGGTTGGCTTTTTTGAATGTTCATCTGTCTATGAGCTTTCTCTTTGTGGGCAGGACATGCCAGGTTCTTCTCTGAATTTTCTTTCTTTCTTCCTCCCCTCCCCCCTTTTTTATTTCCAGAAGAAGACCAGGCATGGAATGCCCTCATCTGTCATTCTCTAATTTAGTTTCCTGAATTCTCATTACATTTAATCTCCAGCCCAGCAAAAAGATTTGAGAGGTGCAACGGATATAGGATTAACTCCATCTCCCTCCAGGGTCTTCTGGGACAGGAGGCTCAAAATCAATTTAGAGAGTTGGGGGTGAGCACTTTACTGAATAGAAAACATTAAGGCACCTTTCCGTAGTCAGTCTGAAGTCTGCATTTTTATTTTATTTATTTTCACTTAAATAATGTATTTTTGAGACAGTGTTTCCCGTAACCTAGGATGGCCTTATATTTACTATATGACCTTGAACTTCTAATCCTGCCGCCTCCACCTGCTAGCATTGTGGGCATGCATCACCATACCTGGCTTATACCCTGCTGGCAAGTGGATGCAGGTCTTCCTCCAAGCTAGAGAAGCCCTCTACTGATGGTTCTGTAGTCCCGCCTATTAGATTTCTGAGGCAGCTTAAAGACGCAGGAGAGAGGAGGAGATAGGTAGATGGGACTGTGTTTATTGGTGCACATAGTGAGGGGGCAGATTCTCTCCCAAAGGAGAAAAAGGGCAGGAAGAATTGTACCGTGCAGCTCACATTTCCTTCCTGAAGTTCCTGCCTCCCAGAGATGCCTGCTCAAGGCAAGACAGGCTCTCCCAACAGATGACCAAGCAATGTCCATCCAGCAAGATTATCTGTGACCTTGTGGGAACCCTGTTTCAAGGGTGAGGGATTCTGACATCATCCCCCTGAAGAGAGTGTGTGTGTGTGTGTGTGTATCTTTAAGTTTTTAAAAATTGATTTTTATCTATGTGTATGCGTTTTTCTTAGTGTGAATATGGTACTGTGTTCATGCCTGGTGCCCACAGAGGCCAGACTAGAGATCAAATCCCCTAGAACTGGAGCTTCAGGAGGTTGTAAGCTGCTATATGGGTAGTGAGAACTGATCCCACGTCCTCTGAAGGAGCAGCCAGTTCCCTTAACTGCTAGGGTCTCTCCAGGCCCTGCAGTACATTTCTTTCATTGTGTGTAATCACTGCTTGTGTCACACAGGCATTATGGGTTCTCAGTTGCAATACGGTGCAACTTATAGGCAGCATCCTGTGGAAATCAGAGATGAGGTCCATGGACCAGCCTCTTCCCAGGGCTGTCTTTCCAAGTCATCTGGGTCTGAGAAGATACAAGGCTAATTTTTCCCAGTACCTCCCAACTGGGCCAAGAGGTGTTCAAGCAGTTGTTCTGAATAAGTGACCCATGTGAACAGGAAGGGATGAGTGTCCTCAGCACCTGTGTCACACAGGGACACAGAAGAGTCATCTTACCAGGTTCCAGGTCTCCCCTGTGTGAGCTCCAGGAACGTCATCCCGATGCAGCATTTGGCTTATGTGTTTATATTATTTCCCCCCAATTCAATGAGACTAAGTTTTCATCTTGGGGGACCTGGTGGCTCTCCCATTGCCTGTCTTCCCCTCTTCTTCCTCCCATGGATCTGGAGGCATCTCCCTACATGGAGGGCATGAACAGTTTCAAGTTGTGTTTCACTCTGGAGTTGGATGGCTTGTCTGTCCTGTTGCCGACTGTAATTTTTGAATATATGAACTCCTGTATATGTACACAGGCTGTTCATGCACCTACGTGTCAGTGTGTATGTAGGTTGTGTGTGTGAATACACAGGCCCTATGTGTTGGACTGAGATCTGCTTTAGCTAAGGAGCCTCCTCCCTGTTTCTGCCTATGTACAGAATTATATTTCCTTTGAAATTAATAAGCATATTTTTAAAGGTACTTTTGATCATCCGTCTCCAAGCAGGCCTTCAGTCTGAGGCTCAGGCACATATTAGCGGTTCTTCCCTGGGAATGAAGGCTTGGGCTGCCTTCTCATTCTGACCCTTCTTCCCCTTAGATTTTATTAAGGAGAATAGCTTATCATTTATTAAAGACAATCGCTTGACTCCCGACCTTGGATTCCGGTGTCTGAATTTCAATTCTTCGACCCTGAGTCCACATTCTGTCCGTAGCTTCTGGCTCAGACTTTAGTCAAATATGCATTCACTAAGGTTTATCTGCTAAGATTAGTTAGGAAATTCAGAGAATTGGAGGAAATATAAAACTTTCAACACAGCTTAGTGATATTGTCAAATTCAATTCAGAGACTCTAGTGACTTTTTAAACAATATACTAATTATGCTTAAAATGTATGTATATTACATTATATATTATGACATTTTGTTCATAGATAACGTTTTATTATTTATTTTGGCTTTTCAGGGTCTCACTATATACCACTGGCTGTCCTGGAACTCACTTTGTAGACCAGGATGGCCTCGAACTCACAGAGCTTCACATGCCTCTACCTCTTGAGTGCTGGAATTAAAGGCATGAGCCACCACTCCTCAGCCATGTTTTATTTTTTTTTAAAGATTTTGTTTTATTTTTAATTGTGCTTGTGTGTGGGTTTGTGCACTTGGGTGCAATGTTTGAGGAGACCAGCAGGGGGCATTGGATCTTCTGGAATTGAAGTTGGAGACCTTTGCTAGTGGTCTCATGAGTGCTAAACTAAACTTGGGTCATCTACAAGAGTAGTAAGCACTCTTAACCACCATGCCATCCCTCCTGCCCCAGCGTATTTCTCTTGATTATATTCACCCTGAATTTTCCTTCCTCCTTCCTTCTTTCTTTTGTTGTTCATTCTCTTTTCTTGTCTTTTTTTTTTTTTTTTTTTTTTGGACAGGGTTTTGTTCTATAGCCCACGCTGGTCCTGAACTCACTGTGTAGCCTAGGATGACCTCGAACTTGATGTTATTCTAATGATTTAGGCTACTAATTACTAGAATTGGAAGCATGGGCCACCTCACCTGGCTCTCTCTCTCTCTCTCTCTGTGCGTGCGTGCGTGCGTGCGTGCGTGCGTGCGTGCGTGTGTGTGTGTGTGTGTGTGTGTGTGTGTAGGCCAAGTGTGGAGTGTGTGTGGGGTTGGTACTGTTATCACAAGGTGTTCAGGTGTGCAAGGCAAGCACACTACTGCTGAGCCCCATCCCCAGTTCTCCGATTGCTTTTAAAGCTTTTCTAAGACAGGGCTCAGAGTCTTCATGGTTCGTGTGATTCTGTCCAGTCAGTCTCATTATTCTGTTGTCTTTTCTTTCTACGCCCTTCATGCACATTATGTGTGACACATAAACCATTTTCGTTCTCAAGACTTAGGTAAGCTCAGAAAAATGATGGTCTACATGAAAAGTAAATGGGAAAATGCCCATCCTCAGAGAGAAAGCCTTGTGTATGCAAGGTTTTATGGCCAATTATACAGGTTATAAAAGCTCACATTTTAGACCAGTATTTTTTTTCGAGTCTATTAATAGCTGCTACCAAATCAATTATCCACCAGTTGCCATAAAACACCCCAACGTCTCCTGATCTTAAATGACTGTGGCCATTTTTCGGGATTTTTGTAGGTGTGAACTGTCCTGATTGTGTGTGGCTCAGCTGGGCAGCCTCTGCGTGTTCCGGGCCCATCAGTGCTGTTCCCTCCTTCCTCACATGTGTCTGATTGATGCCCAGTCTCACCTCAGGTCTGGGGTCTCTCTCTGCTAACATGAGTCTCGTTATCAAGTTCCCCCCCCCCCAACGAAAGTTGTGTGACTAGATGACCAGGGAATGATAAGACCTCTCACAAGCAAGGCTCAAAGGTCACATATGGACATGTTCCTGCATTTTGTTGGCCGGGAAGGTTCCCACTCCATCTAGAGGCCAGGGGTGAGGATGCCAGCTTCACTTGTCATGAGAAGTGTCATCAAAACTGGTGCCCACCTCTGGTCCTGCATCGCAATTTGGCACTCCTAGGCCTTCTCTGTATTATTATCAATTATTATTATTGCTAATTGTTGTTATTATTAATGTGTAGGGGGTGTTTTGCCTGGGTGTATGTCTATGTGCTATGCTCATGCAGACCCATGGAGGCGAGAGGGGGGTGGGCATCAGAGTACCACATCCCCTTGAACTGGAGTTATAGATGGTTATGAGCCACTGTGTGGGTGCCGGGAATTGAACCCAGGTCCTTTACAAGAACAGCCAGTGCTCTTAACTGCTGAGTCATCTCTCCAGCCCCCTTTCCTCTCTGGCTTTTTCAAAGCTATGTGGCTAACTCCATTGGTAGAGTGTTTGTCTAACATGCAGGAAGGCCTGGGTTTGGTCCCAGCATAAACTAGGTATGGCGGTGTGTGCCTGTAGTCCTAGGCTTGAGAGGTGGAGTCGGGAGGATCAGAAGTTCAAGGTCCTCCTCAGCTACATAACAAGCTTGAGGCCAGTGTGGGTTGTCATATGAGACACTATCTCATATGCTACACACGAGAAACAAAATAGAAACAAATGAGAGACAGAGGAAAAAAACACTCTACAAACATATACATCTACTTTTAGAACTGTTAGTTTTCTGAGGTATAGTTGACAAATCCAACTGGCACACACAGAAGAAACAGCAGGACGGCAAGACGTATGTGTGTGTTTCCTGTTCCCAGGGACATATGCTCATACCTACCATGCATCTGTGAATTCTTGAGTTTGCTCACCCGTAAGTCACTTTTGTGGCTGGTATCAAGAAAATCACACTTTTCCCAACTGGAACTGTGCCCAAGTCCTTCCTGGGATGGCTGACTCCTATCACTTGTGACTGGATCGGCTCTCCCAGGCCCCATCCCTCCTCCTCTGTGGCAGAGACCTTGCATTTCACACGCAGAGTGAAACTCGGGCTTACCTATGCTTGGAGAAGCTAATGTGTGGCAAGGTGGTTAGAGGACACGCAAGGGGTAGGAAGGCCAATGTGGGGACCTCTGGTCTGCATGTTACAGCTGTGTCACTGCTGCTGCGTAACTTAGCTGTGTCCCCCAGCCCCACTGAAGTGTCCCCCATGCTTATGTTGCAGAGATTGACCAAAACCCAGACAACCTGTATGTGTTCCTTATAATATGTGGACTCAGGCCAGTGAAGGACCCTCTGTACTTGGTAGATGCATTTTCAGGTATGTGGTTCAGTGTCTCCCTTCCCTGTCGTGTGGATTTGTGAATAGAGATGTTCCTCGCTTGGTCTTGTGTTCTTACTGGATGGCCCCAGCTGGCCACGAATGCCCAATCCTCCTGCTTTAGATTCCCAAGTGCTGGAATTACAGTGTGAGCCATCTTGCCTGGTGGGACCATTTCTTTTTCTTTTCTTTTTTTCTTTCCTTTTGTATTTTTTGTTGCTCTTTGCGAATAAGCAGAGCTATTTCTAGATTATCACTTTGGAAACAGCCAGAAGGGTAATTTATTGGATAACAATCTCTGTGTAGACTTGCAGCTTTAGGTATGAAGGATGGCAGAGAAACTGGAAATAGTTATAAGACTAAAAGATTTTTCAAAAGTCTTGCCACTTTTTTAATTTTTAAAAATGCCCTTATTTCTATGTGTCTGTGTATGATGTGTGTGCAGTGCCTGGGGAATGCCAGAAGAGGACATTGGAACTGGAGTTACAGGCAGTTGTGAGCTGCCATGTGGATGCTGGGAACCAAACTCTGGGCCTCTGCAAGACTAACAAGCACTTTTAACCACTGAGCCCTTGCTCCGGCCCCAAAAGAAACAAATCAAGTATAAGCACACAATACCACATGTAGGCATTCTAAATAGGGGAAACTGATACTGGTTAGTATGGATGAATGCTCAATGACCTAAGAGCCCAAAGCATAGCGTGGAGCAATTTGTAGTTAAGCTGAATTGTTTTCCCAGCTGTGACTCGAAGCCATGTTAGGTCCATTCACAGTCTTTTTCTTTCTTTTTCTTCCTAAGAATGGCATCAAGAAGAGCCCAGTGTTTACATGGTGATTGTAGGCCCTGAGGTGAGTCTATGCGCTGTGAATGCCTATTTATTTGGCTTTTTCCTACTGAGTTTGTTTTCGTGTTTGTGTGTGTGTGTGTGTGTGTGTGTGTGTGTGTGTGTGTGTGTGTGTGTGTGTGTGCATGCTTGTGTGTGAGTGCAGTTCCTACTGGGGCCATCAGAGGGCAATGGATTCCCCTCTGCTGTAAGGTGCCCAGCGTGAGTGCTCAGAATGGAATTCAGGTTCTCTGTAAGAACAGTGCAAACTCTAACTGTGGAGCCATCTCTCCAGCCTCCAGCCTCTCTTCTATTGACTTATAATACATTTTTTAAAACTATTTTATGCTCCTCTAGACTTTTTTTTCTCTTTAGGAAACTGAAGTAAGTTTGCTCTTTTATTACGCTTTATTATTTATTATGTTATATGCTGTGGGGGTGGTCATGTGTCTACAGCTCACATGTAGAGGTCAGAGAGTCTTTCTACCATGTGGGTTCCAGGAATTGAACTCAGGTGTCAGGCTTGGTGGTAAGCACCTCTATTGCTGAGCTAGCTCCTTGGCCCATAATTTGCCTTTTTAAAAATGAAAAGCATGGGCTGGAGAGGTGGCTCAGCCATTAAAAGCACTGGCTACTATTCCAGAGGATCTAGGTTTTGTTCCTTGCACCTTGCATGTTGGCTGACAACCATTTGTAACTTCAGTTGGTGGGGGGACACTCTCACCTGGCTCTTCAGGAACTGCACACATGTGATGCAATGCATACATGCATAATACATACATACATGCAAGACATGCATATATGTATTGGAAATCACCTGGGTCATATCTCAGTGGTAGAGCTTGTCAACCTTGTATGTGCAAAGCCCTGGATTCAGTTCCCAGAACCAAGTGGTTGTGAGAGAGAGAGAGAGCGTGAGACAGAGAGAAGAGAGAGATCAGACCAAAGTTAAAACTAAAGATTATAGCTGCTGTTCACCTTTATGGATGACTTACTGTAAAGATTACAATTAATTCAAACTAATTTAGTGTTGCAAAGGATAATTAGGTAAGTCTAATGGGACATTCTTATGTGGTTCCTATAAAGAGGAACTCATCTAAAAATACATAAGCAAGCTCTATGTATGGTTCGAAGTATTTTGGAACCCTTTAGCTGCTCAAACTTTTGAATGCAGAACTGTTCTTCTGCCTTTTGTTTTTTGTTTTCTTGTTTTTTGGTTTTATGAGACAGGTTTTCACCGTGTAGCTTTGTAGACCAGGCTGACCTCGAACTCACAGAGATCCACCTGCCTCTGCCTCTGCCTCTGTCTCCTGAGTGATGGTACTAGAGGTGTGAGCCACCACCGTCCAGCCAGAACTGCTCTTGAACCCAGCATCAGATGAAGCTGCTGACCTCTGTGGACTTTCATGTGCATGCCCCAAGCAGTTTGGAAAACAAAGTGTACTCCATGCTGCTAGCCTTACGGGATCTGCATGGCCGCGACCCGTCTGTCTTCTCGTGGCTTCCCACTGTGCACCTTTCCCTCCAGATTCCTCTGCTGAAATCCTGTCTTGCAATGTGATGGGATGAGGTCTCTGCGTAGTGACTGTATCAAGGGGATGGAAAGAGCCCTCATCGGTGTGCTCAGTGTCCTTCTAGAAGCCCCAGCGAGCTGCCTTGACCTTTTCATTGGGTGTGAACACAGCAAGAAGCCACTACCTATGAACCAGGAAGCACATCCCATAAAACACAGCCCGCTAATGCCGTGGTCCTGGCTTCTAGCCTCTGTGAGTCTCCACTACGCTTTCAGGTCACCCAAGTTACAGTAAGTCACCGCGGTTGCCTATCCCAGCAAAGACATGCACCATCTGTGGCGCTGCGTGGAATTCTCATCTGTGCAGTGCGAGCCATCTCTCCCATCACCCTTGTTTTGTTTGGCCAGATGATCAGCAAGCTGGGAGTGTTTACTGACTCTCTGATAGAGAGAGAGGGGAATCACAAACCAAGGAAGCTCACGCATGCAAGTACATCTTGGTGAACCAGCGAGCCTATTCGTGTCACCGACAGGCACATGGGAGATTCAATGGCAGCTAGTTACAACACCAAAAAAAATCCCACCCAGCCCGGGTGATGATGCATCCTTGGGGCTTCCTGCCCCACATGCAGACAGCTCCCCTGAAGAGTCTCCTCATCCTTAACATCTGCTTCCCTGCTTCTGTGACCTCAGGGGGCCCAGCGAGTCCCGAGACTTTCTAACATCTTTCCTGAGCCTCCCACCTCCTTCCAGGAGGAAACCCTTTAATTGGAAGGAAACAGATTCTCCAAAGCATTAATCAAGGAGCTGACCTCACTTTGGCTCGCCTCATCTATTTGTCTTATTCTAGGGCCTCGTGGACCTTCCCAGCATGCACAGCTGTTGTCTGTGTTCTCACAGCCTTTGGAGGTAATTGTGTTTACCTAGAATGAGGCGGGAGATGCTAATAAACACACACAAGATGGGGGAGGGGTGGTAAAATGGGTCTGTGGGTAAAGGTGCTTGCTGCTAAGCCTGTTGGTTCTAGAATTCAATCCCAGGGATCCACATAATGGCAGGAGAGAAACAATTCCCAAATGTTATCCAATGGTACATGTGCTGCCAAATTTAAAGCACACACACACACACACACACACACACACACACACACACACACACACACTATCAAGGACTAGAATCTGTACAGCCATGCCAGAGGCCACAGTGAGGAGAGATCTTGTGTTAATCTCATGATATAATACACAATAAATATAGCATTAGGAGTACCAGTCTTGGGGGGGGGATCTCAGCACTTTAAAAGTTCAAAATCTCTTAACTGTGGCTTCCTATAAAATTCAAAATAAGTCACACACTTTTTATTTCAAGAGGGAAGAAGCAGGGCACAGTTAGAATCAGATCAAACCCAAACTCCGGCGGTGTAAATAGTCCAGCGTCCGACATCTGGGACCCCATCACGAACCAGGCTCCGAAGGCCCTGTACAGCCCCACGTGTACACACGTGGCACATACTGCCTGTCCTGCATACTCACGTTAGCTCCATCCCACACTTGTCACTGTCTCTAGTGGCCACTCCATCGGCTGGCATCTCCAATGTTCCAGGGTCTCCCCTGAAACTAAGGCTTCACCCTCACCATGGCCAAGCCTCAGTTCACCTCCACGAACCCCTCAGTCCCGGCGTCACCACTGCAACTGAGGCTGCACCTTCACCAATATCTTCTTTCTGGGGTCCCTCTAGGGACCCTAACGCTGCCCCCATCAAAAGTCTCAGATCCTCTCCACGACCTCTTCAAGCCGAAGCCTCCACTACAGCCGAGGCTATAGCCCCACCAATGACCTCCTGACCTCTTTGAGGGGGACTCTAGCCCTGCCTGCCATAGGTTGCTCTCTTGAATCCCCTACACCCGCAAACCAGGACACGTGGGGGGATTTCCACAGCTTATCACGTTTGACTGACAGCTTGAGATGCGGCCCTCTGAACCACTGCTTCTGTGTGCTGACCCCAAGGAAACACCTTCTAGAAGACTCTTCCCGAATGGTGCTGGTCTCTTATTAATCACAGTTCACTTTTCAGTCCCGGCAAACCCAAAACAAGATTTGCAGCTTAAAATACCACATGAAGGGAATGGCCCTGATGTGGGTCTTGAGAGACTCTCAAACTGCCCTCAGATACCCACAGGCCAGGTCTCTATCGGCTACTTGACTCTCAGCATTTTCTTCCAACCTCATACAACAGCAACCCACCAAATCCGAGGACTGGACAGCTTCTTTCATCTCAAAGCTCCCAAATCCTTACCTAATCCTCCCCCAAACAGCCCGGTCAGCCCCACCACAGCAAGGCCCTACTCCCTGATACTAGTTCCTACCCTAGTTTGTTTTCTGTTCCTGTGATAAACACCGTAACCAAAGTCAACTTAGACGGGGAAAGGGTTCATTTGACTCACAGCTAGCTCACAGTTCATGGTGACCACTCACAGCTAGCTCACAGTTCTTCACGAACGGGAGCCAGAGCAGGAACTCAAATGGTACAGGATCCCGAAGGCAGGAACTGAAGCAGAGGCCACGGAGGAACGCTGCTTAACTGGCTTGCTCCTCCCAGCTGGCTCAATTTGCTTCCTTACCTGACCCAGGACCACTGGCCGGGGATGATACCGCCCACAGTGGGCTGGACCCTGCCTACGTCAATCACCAATCAAGAAAATACCCAGCAGACTTGCCCACGGGCCCCTCTGATGGACACAGGTCAGTGGCACGCCCTTCTGAAGCCTGCACAGCTGCTTCTCCTGAGATGAAACTCCCCAGTGTCGGGCCTGGCTCCAGGTGGAACCCTGCTCAGATGTTCCTTTCTGACCTCTCTGTACAAACTCATTCTTTACCATTTCAAAGCCTCTACACGTCTAAAATGGTCACACTCAAGGGCTCAATTTATCCTCGCTCCGAGTCTGGAGCAGGAGGAGACTTAAAGCCATTTTGTACTTGACTTTGAGTATTTGCTGCGGTGCTAGGGGCTCCCATGCTGATGAGGTGGGTTTGCCAAGTGGCCAAGTGTCAGGACACATTACGGTTCTTGTTTCAATGGCCGCGGCATACATTAATACCACTCCGCCTCCAGCCCCCTGAATTTTCCTGTCTGCACTCTGACATGAGTGCACTTTCTTTTGGTCCATTTTCTGCCTTCGCTCTCCGCGGAGCTCGTGTCGTCGCAATAAGCACTTGTGCTATAAGTGGGATGCTCGGCAGGCTTACTTAGCTTTTTCAGGTCATGTCCCATGCCTCTTTGCAAAATTGTGTCAACTGGGCTAGATCACAGCCCGGGAAGCAGAGCCCGGCTGTTACTGGGCAGTCACTGCGGCGTTCAGCAGTGACTAGCTCTGCCTTGTAGCCCCAGTCATGCAGAAGACCGGTGCAAACACTGAGTAGGATCATTCACACGCCTCAGCCAGCTACAAGCACCAAAGAAGTCTCCCAGCCCCAAAGCCAGCCAGAGGACAACTTCCAGACTCAGTGGAGAAGTC